GCTCATGTCCTGGGTTTGCAGGCACGTTTGTGGGGAGGACAGTCAGAGGGAGACGTAGGATGTTTTCCTGCCCAAGTTCACAGATGCCAAGTTCTTTCCCCAGACAGCACAGAGCGTAAAGAACAGGGAGCACCCGCTTCACAGGCACTGGGCTGATTCGGGCACATCTTGTTCTGGCCCCCAGCAGCTCTGGGTTGGCACTGTCAGCTCTCATGGTGCAGATGCAGAAATCAGACTGGGGTAGGGACACTAGAAAGAGAGGGTCGCAGGGCTCCTCCACCCCTGTGCCAAGCCTGGGCAGAGTGGCACGGTCCCAAGATGCCCCAAGAGGCTGTGTCAGGAGACTGGCCCCAGTGTTGGGGGCTCATGGGAGCCCAGGCTTGTCCCCCGTGTGTGTTCTGTGTGTTTGGAGAACAGGGCTCCATGCTCCGGCCTTGGGGTGTGCAGGGGTGACCCAGCCCGTCACCCACCAGCCCAGCTCTCAGCAGCCTCCAAGGCGTGGTGCACACATCACAGCAAGAAAGGCTCAAGGGAAGATGTGAGGCTGTACACAGAGAGAAAAGGGGGGACACCAGCATTCTGGCAGAGGGAAGGGGTTGGCGTGGTGGGGATGGCAGGACACAGGACTTGGCGTCAGCTTATTAAACTTGCCCAGTGACTCAGGGTCCTGCCCACTCCTGGGGACTCTGCCTGCGTGTCCCTCAAGTCCTCTGGGTCTCGGAGATGGGAGCAGATGCGCAGCATGACTTGTGCCTTCTGGGTGACAGAGGCAGCCTGGGCACCAGACCCCTCCTGGAGGGCGAGAGGGACCTGGGAGCTGGCTGCTGCGGCGTGCAGGACGTGAGGGGTCCTGAATGAAGTAATAAGGGGTGTGACAGGCTGTCCTACAGCCCTAACTGATAAGAGAAAGGAAAGTGGCTTCCAGGGGACAGATGAACTGGGTGGGCGGGCGGAGCCGTCACACGGGTGGGTTCTCGGCCCCAGCCTTGCGGTCTGTGAGTCTCCCTCCCAGCAGGCAGTGCCGCCCGGCCCCTCTGAGCCCTGGTCTCTCCCCTCAGTCCTGGTGCAGCTCCAGCCCGGCCTCCCTCAGAGCCGCCTCACTACTGCCCACACTGCCGGCCTCCCAGAACTCTTGCTGGGGCAACCAAGGAAAATCGGAGTGGGCCTCAGGGCAGGACCCCGTTCCCCTCCCCGGGATGTGCTGGAGCTGTTGGTGCAAGCCCTGGGCTGGGTGCATCTCTTCCCAGCCCCACAGTTGGTGACTCTTGTGCTGGTAGCCTGGAATCGGCTGGATGGGACTGTTGCCACAGAAATCGGCCGAAGGAGCTCCGGGGTCCAGGAGGCTTCTCTCCTCCTAGCGTGGGCTTGAGCACGTCGGTGAGAATGGAAGTGGGTGGTCGGAGACAGGAGCACAGATGCTCATCCCGGGGCCGGAGGCGAGGCGGAGCCCAGACCAGGGCAAGTCGGGGAGCGGGTGAGCACAGACTTTGTCTGCTGCTTTCTGCAGAAGACAGGAAGCAGCCTCGCCCCCAAGAGTGAAAATACCTGAGAGTATCTGGGGGGCTGAGGAGGAAAAGGGAACTGGTGGTCCAGAGCGTGAGAGCCGTGTGGCAGTGCCAGCCTGGCTTCAGGCAAGGGCCCGTGCCCGTCGGTGCCTCGTTCTGGGTTTTGTGCTGCTCCAGCAGTGTGGGCCACGGAGGGGACTTACCAGCTCTGTCCGATGATGACAGGAGAGGGGACAAGTTTGTAAATGGAGGGGGGACAATGACTTGACCGTGGTCTTTAAGCTTTCACACGTCTGTCCATCTACCCGTCCACCCTCCCTCCCGCCGTCCTGCCACCCCTCCACCCACACACCCACCCCTCCAGCGCGCAGCAGGCTGCTGTGTGCGTACAGGGATGTGGAGACGGAAGCTGAGTGAGTGGCCTCCGGGCTGGGAATTCACACTCCACTGGGGAGCCAGACATGGTCACAAGCTGCCCTGACACAGGGAATCTGCTTGTCTCATGTCACAAAGCCCAGACACTTTAGGCTGTGGGTCCAGCAGACCAAGGAACGGGGGAGAAAGGAATGTGACAGACACTGGCTGTGCCGCCCGCTGTGTGCCAGGCATTTGTATGCCACTCGGGGGGGACTTGACAACCTCTGTCTCCACATCCAGCTCTGTGTGGGGTCTCAGCCAGGGCTGCACATCACAACCTCATGGAAAAGTTTGGTTGCGCCGGGGTGGTGCCCGGGTGTGGGATTTGCAGCCAGGGTGAGAGCCACTCATGGGACCACAGCCACCCCAGCATGGGCATGGAGGGGATGCAGGGCAAGGGCATCAGGCATTGCCCAGGACCCACCAAAGCCCACCAGCTAGCTTTTATTCTGCACCTTCTCTGCCCAGGGCGCCATGAGGACCCCTTGCACATGGGGAAACGTATTCAAAGAGGATGAGCAGTCACCCAGGGCCAGCCGGTGGCGAAAGGGGGCCCCTCTCTGTGCATTCCAGAGCCTGGACTCTCACCAGGCTGCAGAACCTCCCATCCCTTGCCTCAAGGTCCAAGGCTCTGCTTTGGGAGCCATGTGGCCCGTGCGGCTATCCCAGCTGCTCCCATACCAGCCTGAAGTCACTTAGTCCCTGCGCCTGGGTCTTACTAGCTGTGACCTCGAGGTAACAGTATCCATCTTGGGGGTCCAAGGGGGATTGAATGAGTCCATGTCTGCAGTTCAGCGGGCACTCCAGCTCAGTGTGCTGATGGGTCTCCCATGTCACAGGTGTCCCCATCCCATCTCACAGCCACCTGCTGCCCACTCCAGACCCCATCAGAAGCCCCAAACACATAGCCCAGTGCTCCCACCTTTGTGTTGCAGGGGCCCCTGACAGCCTAGTCTCTGGGCCCTGGGCTCCAGCCTGGGGAAGAGCTGTGGGAGTTTCTGGCAAAGGTCACTCAACCTGAACAGGGAAGAGAAGAGGGCACTGGGGATGGCTGGGGTCTGGGTGAGAAGGGGGCCCATGGGAAGGGAACCTCCCTTTCTGGGGGCCTTGGAGGAGGCAGGGAAGCAGAGGAATGGGCAGGTGTATGTGAGTGAAGGTTCTCATCAAATATTTATCAGTGAATTGATCTCCCAAGGCTGCTGACGGCACCCTCTCTCTCCTGCTTCCCTGAGCCCCTTGCTCTGGACCCCATAGCTCCCTGTCTTGGGGCTTGGCTGCTTCCCACCCCTGCTGCAGCCCCCACTCTCACCTCCCTCACCCTGAACGCACCCCTGCCCCCCTCACCCGGGTGCTGGGGGACGGTGTCCAAATGTCCACTGACAGTGGGCAATGGGGCTTCAAGGGCTACTTCGGAGCAATGAGGCACGAATCTCCAGCTAGGGGCATGCATTCATGTGTGTGACTGCTTGCCTGTGACTGTGAGATTGTGTGCGTGTGATTGTGTGCACGTGTGCATGCACACACATCTCCCTGTTGTCAGGAGTTCTAGTGTTGCCCCAGTTTCTGAGTCTCTGCAGCGAGAGGGTGAGAATGGGTGGCTTCACCAAGGAGGAAGAGGACAGGATCTTTCTGCCCATCAGGCCACTGCTCAGTGGTATCAGGGGTCACCCTGCAGGTCAGGCGTGGCGGGCACTGAGACAGCGGAGGCTGGCCTTGGGGGCCTTAAAGGTTGGGTGGTGGGCATAGTTGGCCTCAGGCATCCCGCTCTCCCTGGACTGCAGACCTACCAGGTCAGGGCCTGCCTGTCCACTGCCTGGCACCCCAAACCCGATAAACAGTTGTTGGGTGAATTAGTAAGTGAATGAAGAGTAGGTAGAGAGCAAGACCCAGCACATCCCCTGGAGAGATGCCATCTCATGGGGGGGGCAAGGCAGCAGACAGACACTTAAATGCGCTGAGGCCAGCCTGACTCGGGCAGTGTGGGCACATGCAGGGTTCCCCTCGGCGAAGCGTCAGACTGTGCACGTCTGTGCAGGGGTCCTTCCCTGCCCGACGTCTACTCAACACCTGTCCTTCTGAGTAATGCGGGCCCTCTCTCCCCTGGGGACGCCCTCAGAAAGTGCCTCCCCTGCTCAGAGAGGCTGCTGCCTGTGTCTGCAGTGGGACTGCCAGGAGGGATGCAGAGCCCTGCCCCCACCCACCTCCCCTCTGCACCCTGGTGGACCCCAGTCACTTCTGTGAGGCCAAAGGACTTTCCCCCAGCGCTGCTCTGCATGCCCCGCACCAGCGCTTCTCATGAGCACCAGGCCTGGGAAGGAGGACTGGGTGGGGCCCGGGAGCTGCGTCAGGGACAAGCTCCAGGGTGAGGCCAGAGCTGCAGTCCGGGACCCCCGTTAGGAGACCCACTGCCCTGGTGCATTGCTGGAGCCCCACCGAAGACCAGGGCTTCCAGAAGCCCCCCGAGTGGCTGGGGCCAGCACTGAGGGGGCACTGTCCCTCCTGGGGCAGCAGGCCATCAGAAGGGCGGGGAGGGGTCCGTGGGGGGATCTCAGGGATCCTCGGGACCTGCTGTGCCCCTTAGATGGCGCCTCGCCCAGTGACCATCATTGGGGCTGAGGGTGCCAGGCTCATGTTCTGCACGTCGGCTCTGATCACCTCCTCAGGCCATGAATTGTGCTCCACACCTGCTTTGACCGTGAGAAAACAGGGCTTCCCAGCCGGCAGGAGGTGGGGATGTAGAGGGTGGTAGGGGGCTTCCTTGTGCTGCTGGAACCTCCTGTGTCTTGACTAGATCGATGTCATCTGGTGGGGATGGCTTTACAAGATGTCACCACTGGCAAGCACAGGGCAGAGGGTACATGGGAGTGCAGTATGCTATTTCTTACAGGTACATATGAGTCTACAGTTTCCTCAAAATGTTTAACTTTTTAAAATTAGGTGGATCAAAAAAGACCTTCCGTATACTCAGGTTTGACAAGTGTGTGTAAGTGGCCTCCAGTCCTGGACGAGCCCCCACCTAGGAGGCCTGGCAAAGGTTGCCGTGAGTGGAGCTGGGGCAGTGTGCCGTGCACCGAGGGCCTGACCAGCCTCTCTCTCTCCCTCTGCAGGGTACTCAGGACGCCACGGCCCCGCCTGAAGCGATGGCCCAGCCCTATCCCCCCACCCAGTACCCTCCTCCGCCACAGAACGGCATCCCTTCCGAGTATGCCCCGCCCCCACCGCACCCCACCCAGGACTACTCCGGCCAGACCCCGGTCCCCCCGGAGCATGGCATGACCCTGTACACACCAGCACAGACGCACCCCGAGCAGCCAGGCACCGAGGCCAGCACACAGCCCGTTGCTGGGGCCCAGACAGTGCCGGTAAGGGGCCCTGCAGCTGCACAGCCTCAGGGAGGGGGGCCCGCAGGTGGAGGGCTGGGCGGGGCCTCTGTGATGAGAGGCGGGGGGAAGCGCTCAGCCCCAGAGCCCTTGAGCACCCCACTCCAAGGACCCTTCTGGTGAGCAGGCCCAGCAGGGTGGGGCGGTGACCCTGCCCTCTGCCAGGCCTGCAGCTGTCCCCTGCTTCCCTGAGCCACCACCTCAGGCAGCCTCTCCGCTCAGCTGGGAGACAGAGCCTGTCCTCCCGGGGTGTTGTGGGGGCCAGCCGGGTGGGCTGGGGGCTCCAAAGAGGCCCAGGGCCCTCAGCTGTCTCGAGCAGCAGGCACTCCCATCCTTTCTAATCACTTGTAATCTACCTGCTTGGCTGCCCTCCGATCAGATGGCTTCAATTATGTGGTTGTGATGCAGCCCCGAGAAGAAAGTGCTGAGCCCTATGCTTCTCAGAGATTTCCTGATAGCACAAGAGTGTGGTCAGCAGGAGCCGACCCGGGTGGGCACCCCAAAAAGGCAGCCCCCTCCCAGGCCCAGGCTGCTGCACAGACTCCGGAACCTCAGCCTGCCAGCCCCTCGCCCTGCCCTGGCCACTGCGTTCTCCGTGTGCCCAACCCGCCCTGCTCTGGGGCCTTGGGTTCATCCAGCGTCCCCACCGGCTCTCTCCCAGCTCTGGCTGTCGGGGGCTGGGCAGTAGGCCAGCATGCTCCATGCTGCCCAGCAGTGCGACCACCCTGGTTGCCTCCTGAGGGGTGCCACCCTCCACTATGCTCCCTCAGCACCCCCCAGTCCCGCCACAGACTGGGCGGCTCCCACATACTGCCCTCCCCCTGCTGGTGTGGGCAGCAGCATCCAAGCTCTTGGGGGAGAGTGGCCCACCCCCTGGGCTGGACCCAACCCTCACGTGGGGCCACGCCTTGCCTGGCTCAGAGCGCTGCCCAGCCCAGGTCTGCTCCTAAGCCATCAGACTTCCTTCCCCGGGCGCCCCTGGTGCAGAGTGTGACCTGTGGACACCCCCAAGGTTCCTGCAGATGGAGAGGGCAAGGCCCACAGACCATACAGCTGGGAACCAGTCCCACTTCCTGGGCTCTCTCTGCTTCGGATCCCTCAAACCCGTGGCCTGTCTGTGCTCAGAAGAGAGCGGCCAGCTCGGGAGCAAAGGCGGGCTCATTACAGACAAGCTGGCGGGCTGCTCTCTTCCGAGGGCCCACAGTGAGCAGCGTGCATGTGGTCAAACCTCCCACAACCTCCTCACGCACAGGCAGTGAGCTGTGGGGATTCATCCTGGAAGCAAAACAAGCCCATCAGCCTCGAAGATGCCCCTGGCTGTCCCTGCCCACAGCTGCCCCTGCCCAACAGAAACAAGCCTGAAGTCCTCCTTGACACCAGGGCCACCAGATGCAGCCTAACCTGGACAACTATAGTGTTCCTTCATCTGGCAGACGTTTTTGGGGCACCTACTATGTGCCAGGCACTAAACCAGCACTGAGGTCCAGAAAGGACCTGACCCAGCCTGGCCTGTGGTGGCATCAGTTTCCACCAATCAGGGACATAAAAGTCGAAGAGGAGCCAGTTGTGGCCTCCATGGCTGTGAGTCCATGGGCCCTGGAGAGGACCCAGGAGTCCTGGGGAGGAGACATCCCCACTGAGATGAGAGTCTCCTGCTCAGGCCAAATGCCCGCAAGAAAGTGCCAGGGCCAGAGAGCAGTCTTGGCCTTCCTTTCATCAGCTCTGGCATCTCGAGGCCCTGCGAGGAGGTGAAAGTCTGCAAGTCTTCCATCTGGGGACCCACTAGTCTCCGTGCCCTAAGGGCTGAAAGAGCCCAGAGGTGGGAGTCACTGGATTAGCAGACCTTGAAGACACGCAGAGCCCGGCAGCGACCTCAGCCTCGCTGGAGGGTGTGAGCACTCGAGTAAAGCCTGGCGCATTTGCTGCAGCAGAGGCTGCCCGCCTTCAGAGGAGCTGCAGAGAGTGGCTGATACCCTGTCCTGCTCTGAGAGTCCAGGAGCCACCTTCTCCCCGGGAAAGCTGCCCAGGGCCCCCAGCTGAAGGCTGAACACCTCCATGCTGGGCACTGTTCCATGCCCCATCCTGTGTGAGGGCTCTGCTCACCAGAGCCTCCTCGGCCTTCCCCAGGCAGCCTGGTATCAGGACCCAGAGGTGCAGGGCAGCAGGCGGTGCAGACTCCCAGCTTTGGTCTAGACCTGCCCTCTCCTGCCTGCAGATGCCATTTATCAGCGTGATGCTTTATTTATCAGCATGGCGTCCTCTATGTTTTTGGCAAAAGGCAGCATGGAGCACAGCACGGCAGGCTGCTGATGGATCGGGGCCACCTCACTGCTCGTCGGGGCCCCTGAGGGACATGGGCTGGAGAAGCCCCCAGAGCATTTCATCCAGGGCAGTGTGGGTCCTGCAGGCGTCCTCCCCACCCAGTTGTCCGCCCTGAGTCGCGGGACGGCCCACAGGCTTGTGCTCTTGGACATGACTCCACCCCCCATCTTCCTCTGGGAACCCTCATCATTGCGCCATCGCTGCTGCCTCCCCGACTGGCAGGAGTGGCACTACTGGTCCCCTGTGCAGGGCAGAGAGGCAGTTTGTCCACTGCTGAGTCCACCCCAGTGAGACGCAGCCGTGTGCCACCTCGCTACGGCATGCGGGCAGATGGGCCATCAGGCAGCCCAGCATGACCCGTGCAGTGGCCGAAGCTAGGATACCACGTCGTGCAGAGTCCAAAGCTAGAGCACCCCGCTCTGCCGGAGGAGGGGGCTGCCCAGCACCCCAAGGTTCTGAACAAGTCATCATGAACGGACAGCTCAAGACCAGATAACACAGCTGACGTGATGTCATTGCCCAGGTCTCTGGAGGAGTGGAGAGGAGAGGAGGCCACAGAGAAAGGAGATTTCCAAGAGGCCCCTGCCAACAGTGCTGGGCGTGGGAATCCCTGCAAAGGGGCTGCAGGGTCCTCGGAGGGTGGGAGGGTGGCAGATGCAAGGGGACACAGAGAGGGGGGCCAGACGCAGAAGCAAAGCCACCGAGACCAGCTGGGGAGGAAAGGGCATCACTGTTGTTCTTCCCTCTTGAACACGAAATGCAAAGGCGGCCTTAAAAAAAGAAAGACGAGAGAAGGGAAACCGCCAGGAAAGGCGGGGCCGGCTGCCTGCCCCTCTGTGACCCGGGGCGGCCGGCATGCCTTTCACTCAGGCTTCCTCAGCACATCTGACCGTTTCACAGCCAGCGAGCCCACGTGTCTGCCTCTGTCCGCAGCTGTGCTGGGACGCGGGGGTGCTTCCTTACTGCCGTGCTGGCCTCTCTCGTGGCTCCTTCCACACAAGCGTCCAGCCCTTGTCTGCTCCCCAAAGGGCCTTTTGGGACGTCTGGTAGGAGTGTAGGCAGGGACCCTGGATCTTGCAGACATACAGTGGACTCAGGCCCGCTATTAGGATGGGCCCAAGGCAGGGGAGAAATGGCAGTCCAGCCGGGCCCCACACGCCCCAGCTCCATCGTGACCCCGTGTCCCCCACCCAGGGCTCAGTTCTCCCGTGAGGTGGGCTGTCCTGCAGTCCAGAAATCAGCCAGGCTGACCACTGCCCTCTGCTGGTCCAAAGCCTGCATTGCATACCCCTCTCCCAGCCGGATTCCCAGATCCCCCGGGACTCCATTAGTCATCTATCCCCAGGGGTAGCTGAGGGCACAGGTGACAGAGGGCCCTGGGCCTTCTCTGACCTCTGCACAGTAAGAGACACACCTTGCTGTAGCCAGAGGATCGGCTCAGGTCTCTGTAAGAACCCACTGGTGCTGGCCGGGTCTGCTTTGATTCAGGGGCGCCAACAAGCCCTCGGAAGGTCCTGCGCAGGCTTGCTCTCTGCAAGGAAGTGGGACCGAGGGAGGAGGAGACAGAACCAGGAGAGCTGTGCTGTTGGGTGTCCCCAGGTCCCTGGCCCCCCAGGAGTCCCTGAAGAGCCCAAAGGCAGCCTCCCAGTGTTGCCTGTCTTGAGGGCCTGATGCAGGCCAGACAGGACTCTCCAGAGACCTGCAACCCCTCCAGCTTTCCTCCATGGTCGCCCCCCATAGGGGACTCCTCGGCGTGGTGCTTGGTGGCCAACCCCAAGGAATGGGCGCTGGATCGCCTGCAGCCCCACCCGGGGCACATGTCACTCAGCAGCCCGACGGGAGGGCTCAGGGAACACACATGAGTAGGATGGCCACCCTGCTGAGACAAGGCACACGTGTCCCCAGGCTAACAAGAGGCTGGTGGCTTCAAACCCACGCTCGAAATCATGCGCCGTGTACTCCCTTCTCAAAACAGGAACACGGGGTTTGAGTCTAGGAAGTCTTTGACTACGGTGCTTGCTGCACCCTCCTACCCTGCACCCCTGCACCCCTGCCGTCCTCCGGGTCCCCCTCCCAGCTGGTCACCTGGAGGTGTCCTCAGTCTCCCTCGTCAGCCCAGAGCACAGGAGTAGGGCGGCAGGCGGTGCCCTGTCCTTGCAGAAAGGATGGCCACCAAGGGCAGCCACTCAGGAGTCCAGGCACAGACCTCCCAGCCACAAGCCAGACGCAGCCCTGGGTGAGGCTCCCCCCAAGTCAAGGCCTCAGGCACAGTGTCCTCACCTTGCTCACCTGCCCTAACGCTGGAGGCTTGTTGGACAGGTGTCCTTAGCTCGCCGGTGATGGACACCCACCAGAGAGGCTGCAGCAGACCCGGCAGTTCCTGGAGACCCAGGGAAGAGTTCCCGGGCATCTCTCCTCTCCACTCTCCTCGCCGTGTCTGCCTCCCAGCCTCTTGCTGCCAGCCCCGCCGCCTCTTCTGTCAGCCACTTGGGAGACCATGGCCTCCCGCACCTCCATTTGTGCCAATTCCAGCGCGGGCCCGGGGACCCTCCCTCCTTTCCTCTCTCCACGCACATCAGAAGGCGCAGAGCAGCCTTACTGGAGGGCCCCTCGGGCCTTCAGCTACTGGCCTGTCCTGGCAGCAGGCCCTGAGCCGTGATTCAGATGCGAGCAGTGCCCTGTGGAGGTGACGGCAAGAACACCGGGGCAGAGAGCTGGGAATTGAGGTGGGAAAGGAAGGAAGCAGTGCCAGGCGTGTTCTCAGCCCTCTCTCCCCATCAGGGGAACTGAGTAGAGCCCCCCAGTAGCCCCACAGGAAAGAGCCAGGGCATCCGTCCACCACCAAGTGTGTCACCAGCCGAGGACCACCCTGGACACTGACACTCCGATGTCCTCACCAATGGGCTGAGCCAGGAGACTGAGTCTGGGGCTGGCCGTCCGTGGCTCTGTCAACAGCAATGCCCTGGTGTCCAGCTCATAGCAACGTAACCAGGCACCTTGGCAGTCACCGCTCACCCCGCTAACGCCGAAGGAGCGCCTGCTGTGTCCTGTGGCACCGGCAATTCAGCAGGGACAGAACCAGGCCAAAGGCCAGCCTGCTGGTGTGAGCTGGTGGACCGTCTCTGCAGAAGTCCCGACGGGGAGCCCCCCACCTGCTTGCTGCCCCGGGCTTCATCATGTCCTCGTCCCCACGGGAGCTGGGACTGACAGCCTTGTTCCTGAGCCCAAGGCTTCCAGAACCTCTCTGTTGGCCAGGGTTTGGATCAGAAATGAGGAGCAGCTATGAAGGGCTGAACACAGCCACCCACTGCCTCCTCAGAGCCTCGCAGCCCCCAGAGACGCTGAGCGGCAGCAGGGCCCGCCACGGGGCAGCACCCTGCTGGATTTGTGTGCCCGGCTTGGGTTCTGCAGTCTCTGCTTTCTCATCAGGCCTAGATAGCCAGAGCGTCCAGCACTCCAGCACCCAGGCTCTGCCAGGGAGACGGGTGTGCCGTGACAGCCCATGGCATGGAGGCCGCGAGGCCAGACCTCTGTGACAGGCGGACACACGGGCCGAGGCGGCCTTGCTTGGGGGGTCCAGCTCAGGCAGGGCTGGCCGAGAAGCAGCTGGGCTGTCTGGGCACATCCCGGACCCCAGCCCCAGCAAAGGGTCCACGGGGGGCTGGGGGAGGAGCTGGTCTTTGCACCAGCCTCTCCCCTTGGGATGGGAGCTGAGGGGGCGCCTCACAGCCAGGTCCTCACCCCACAGCAGACAGACGAGGCGGCACAGACGGACAGCCAGCAGCTCCACGCCTCTGACCCCACAGAGAAGCAGCAGCCCAAGAGGCTCCATGTCTCCAACATCCCCTTCCGGTTCAGGGACCCCGACCTGCGGCAAATGTTCGGGGTGAGTGTCCAGGTGCCATCCCCGCTCCCCAGGTCTCTTGCCCCCACAGCCCCCTGGGTCCGGACCTCCTCTGCCCTCAGTCTGTGGGTCGGCGGGGGGGAAGAGGAAGGACACAGCTCGGGGTTCAGGGATCTGCTGTGGCCGCCAACCCCCAGCCAAGATCCGCCCGGAAGCCTGCCCCACCTGTCCTCAGGGCCAAGGCCAGTGCCAGCCAGAGGATTCCTGGGCAGCCCCAGCTTGCATCAGGGCTCCCGGGACCTCTATGCCTCCAAAGGGCACCTCGAGGGGCTGCCAGCCCCTGCCTCTCCTCTGCCTGGGGGGCCAGGTACCCAGCCTCTCTGGGCTCTCGGCAAACAATCCCCAGGAAGCCAGCACCTGGCCACTGCCTCCTGGATTCCCCCAGGCTGTTCCTGCACTTGGTGCTGGATTCCAGCCGGGGTCAGGGCTACTGTGAGAGCCCTTTAGTCCTGCGGTCACTTCATTCTGTCAGGTGACTTGAGCAGCTAGCTGGTGCCGAGGACCACTGGGTGCTGGGCTGCTGAGGGGTTGGGTGAGCGGGCGGCAGCCAAGCCTTTCCACCAGGACCAGTGCAGCCCCCGGGCCCCTGGCCAGGGCTGGCCATGAGGATACATAGGCCAGGCCCGAGATTCTTCCCTTCCTGCCTCCCCTCACCGCAGACCCTCCTCTCACTGCCTGCACTGTGCCCACCCCCACCTCTGCTCCAGCTGATCGGGCTCAGACCCCTGAACCCCAGCCCTCATGCCACCCCCTACCCCAGGATCTGTCAGGCAAATGGGAGGTGCCTCAGGTGTTCTCAGATGGACCCAGTGCCCGCACCTGACTCACCCCAGATACGCACTCCCCTTTATGGGGGCCGGGCCCCCTTGGATTCGGGGCTGTGGCCCAGTGGTGCTGGTGGGGCCAGAACGATCAGATGAGGATTCTGCCCCCTCTTGGCCCTGGCCTGGCCAGCCCAGCTCCTCTGAGCCTGCAGCCCCCACTGAAAGCAGCTGTGTAATGGAGCCCTCGCCGACCTAGGTCCTCGGCTCGCAGCAGCTCACGCGGCCCTCGCACCCGCCCCTGGAGTTGGGGCCAGCACGCTGGCAGGAAAAGCGTTCTCCAGCGGAGGGCAGGGAGGGGCGTCCCCGTCCCCGTCCCCCTGTGAGCCCCTCTCCTCTTCCCTGCAGGAAGCGGGAGGGGACCAGACAGGCAGTGGGTGAGGGGCTCCTGGGGAGCAGACGGGCCGGGCCGGCAGCCTTAACTCACCCTCTGCTGTCCCCCCACCCTCCTCTCTGTCTCTGCAGCAATTCGGAAAAATTTTAGACGTGGAGATCATTTTTAACGAGCGGGGCTCCAAGGTGGGTGCCGCCCAGAGGCCGCCACCATTACAGCGCCGGCTGTAGGTCCCGCCAGGCTAACGTGTGACATGTGCGTTTCCTTCCTGGAGAGCTTCGAGCCCGAGGACCCCTGAGCGACACGGGTGCTTGTATTTCCCGCTCCTCCGCCCCCCCGACCCCCCCGTCTTGTGTTCCTGCTGCCGTCCTGAACGCTTCCTTCTCTCTAAGCTGCCAGGACCTCTCTGCACCCCAGCTGGGCCCTGGCCTGGGTCCCCAGCCCCTCTGGGTGCCGGCCTGCCTCAAAGCTGGCCCTGAGGCTTGTGGGCACGCTGTAGGGTGGGCAGGCGGGAGGGTGCCCAGCAAAGACACGCCCTGCTTCCCACTCTGGGAAGGGAAGCCCCAGGCTCCTGGGGTGAAGGTGGGTGGGGCTGCCTCCCAGGGGTCCAGGTGGGCTCAGGGTGACAGTCCTGGCCCCTGGCTTGGTTGGCGTCTTTCATAGTTTTGGCCCGTCCCCTCGGAGGTGCCATGTGGTCAGCTCAGGCCGGGCTCAAGGCCAGGCCAGCGGCTGCCCCCACCTGGGGCCATACCCCTCCTGGGCATCCTGCCGGGGGCACCAGGACAGACCTCGGCTGCCTCGAGTCTCTCCTTCGGCTCACCTGACTCAGCCCCTCTCTCTCTCCCCCTCCCTCCCCACCTCTCTCCCTCTGTCCCTCCCCCTCCCCACTGCCCGGCCCCACCTACCCCCCCACCCACACTCCTCCTCTTTTTTTGTCCTTTTTCTCATCCTTTCTTTCCATGTCTGTCCTTCTCTGCTCACAGGGTTTTGGGTTTGTAACTTTTGAAACTAGCTCAGATGCTGACCGAGCCCGGGAGAAGCTGAATGGGACGATCGTAGAGGGACGGAAAATTGAGGTGCTCAGATAAGTGTGCTGCAGCAGGACGCCTGAGAACTGCCCCCTGTCACTGGGCCCCCCAGCCCCTCTTCTGCCCTGCAGAGAGCCAGGCCAGGGGCCCCGTGGCAGGAAGCTGGGCAGGCAGGCCCATGCCCCTTGCGTGTCTGGCCAGCAGGCTGCCCCAGAGGCCCTCTGCTGCTGCTTCCTGTTGCTGCAAGAGGTGCCCGGAGACGCCCCAGGCATCGTGTGTTTGGGACTTGGCAGCTCCAAGGACCACAGGCAGCCCGGTCTGCCTGTGGGTGGGAGGGGGCACCGATGCCCTGGCCCCTCTCACCAGGGAGCAGCCCCTGCCCCCATCTCATGCCCCAGGGGGCTGGCAGGAACAAGCAGCCAAGGCCTACAAAGGGACCCAGCCCAGAGCAGCAGCAAGAAGGGGAGGCGAGGGGTCCCCCTGACAGCCCGACCCCCTCCTTGCCCCTTACTGGGGGGCTGGGCATCCCCCACTTCAGCGCTGTGGCTCTGGGTGTCTGGGAGCCCAGCCCCACCCAGGCAGACAGGGCGCTAGGGGGCAGCTGGGGAGGGGAGGGCCCCACGGCGGGTGCAGAGTCCCGTGCAGAGCTGTGCCGGAGGGGGAGCAGGGAATCCAGAAGCAGGAGAGCTGGAGGCTCCGGCCTCTGCCAGGCTCTGGCCCAGCACCCAGCGGCACCTCGGGCAGCAGCCCAGCCCCCTTCCTCCGGTTCCACCACCTGCCCTGTTCCCCACTTCCTTCTGCAGAGGCCACCCCCAACTTCCTCCTCCCATCCTGGCTCCCGGGCAGCATAACCAGCATAACTTAGATGTCTGAAAAGTGGGACCCACATTTTGGCACCAGCCTGCCTTCTGCCCCAGCGGCCTTGCCCCCCATAGGAACACACTCTCCATCAGAAAGTTCCCTGCTGGCCTCGGGAAAATGGGGTGCTTCCCCCACAGGGAGGGGTAGCTATCTCAGCACCCACTACTAGGAAGGCCTCGGCAGCCACTCGGGCAGAGAATGCTGGGGGGGTCAGTCTGTTAGCTGGGCTCAGAGCCCTTTGTGGAGAGTCCAGCAGCTTGTCCAAGGGCCTTGGGCTGGCAGAGCAAGGCTGGAGCTTGGTCTGTGGGAACAGCCTTGTGGAGAGCACAGGGCAGCGGGGCTGAGGGTGCAGGGGGTGCAGCACTGGGGAGACGGGAGGCCAGGCTGGGGGCAGAGGCTGCCCTGTGCCTCCGCCTGGGTGCCCTGGGACCTCCCAGCCCCCAGCCCCCTCCACGGCGGCCATGGAGAAGAAGTGCAGAGCAGGACCGGGGCGGCCGGCGGTCTGCACAGGGCTGACGTCCCCCTCACCCGACCTCCCTCTCTCTGGGCAGGTCAATAATGCCACGGCCCGCGTCATGACCAACAAGAAGACTGCAAATCCCTACACCAATGGTAAGGGGCTTGGGACCCCAGGGAGGCCACGGGGACAGAGGCCCTGGAGGGGCCCAGGCTGCTGGAGGCTCCCTCCCTGGATGCACAGTGCCCCTTTGTGCCCCAGTCCAAAGGGCCCCAGTCCAGGCCGAGGCAAGAGGGGACCTGGGACCGGCCCCCCCTGGACACAGCTGGCTTTCCCAAGTGTGCATGGCACCCTAAGACCATGTGGACAGGCTTCAGGGACAGTGAGATGGTGGCCACTTCCTGGGTGATTACTTAGTTTCTAAGCACCAAGCGAGGACCTAGCTAGAAGTGTTCAGTACTTAGTGAGTTTGATGACCATGAGAGGGACAGTCCTGCCCCCTCAGCCTTGGAAATACAGAAAAGCTGAGGCCCCCAGGGTGAGCCCGGCTGGCCCCCACCATGCACCAGCTGAGCAGAGCTACATGTGTGCTAACCTTGAGCAGAAGTGGCTGGTGTCCTCTGAAGATGAGATGGCTGAGGCAGAGCGCTGGCTGCCAGGAGAACAGGGGGCTGCCCTAGGGCCCTGCATGAGCTGACCACCAGGCGAGGGGGCTGGTTTGAGGGTAGCTGGCAAGGCGTCTGGGCCCTTTGAGTTCTTTCCCCTTGTCAGGCAGCGCAAACCTGCTCCCAGCACAAGTTTCCCTGCAGGGCGTGGGCTTTGTTCTCGACCCCAGTAGGGACAGAGTGGACTGAGTCATACCTAGTCCCCTTTCTGCCTGTCTGATCAGCCATACCTGGAGTCAGGTGACAGGCAAGCACAGAAAGCTGGGGCAGGACTGTGGGTGGATCTGCTTCATAACCCCAGAGCAGGGTCTCCCCACCTGGCCTCCAGGGGTGGGGCAGGGCAGGGGCTTCGGCTGGCTGAACCCCATTTGGACTAAATTATTGCGGCTGCCTTCCTGCCGTTCTGAGGACTATCAGAACTCAAATTCTTCCTAAAAATCCAGGGTGCCGGCTTTGTGAGGGTCCCCAGGGCGTGCTGGAGTGACTCCCCTGCAATCCGGTGGTTGACGCATGAGGGGAAAGTGAGGGATATGCTTACAGGGTCAGGTGGTCACTGGGGTACCTGAGTGCTGGAGTCGGCTGCCCGCTCTTCACCCAAAGCACACGCCCCTGCTTTCTCAAAATGTCTGCAGAACTCAAAATGTCAAGGAGCATGGAATTCAGAATGGAGTTAATCCCTGAATGACACAAAAGGGGCACAGAACCAACGCTGGTTGAATGACAGAATGGAGAGGGGAAACCTTTGCTCACCTCTGGGGCAACAAGTCTCATTTAAATGTCCTTGTTGGCCTGGGCAAGGCCGTCAGGGGTTGCAGTGGGCAGGCCCCAGGTTCTCTCTGCAGGGTGGCAGTGACGCCCAGCACGTAGGCTCTGGTGGCCTGGGAATTCAGCTTGACTTTGCTTAAATACTCGGGAGCACTAAGAAATTCATCCGGTATAGAGTCAGAAGTTTCCACGGAAGAAAATAAACTCACCAGGTTTGACCAGGTGTTGCTATGTACAGAAGAAACAAATGAGTGACTCAGGTGGGTCTCGGGTTGCCTCTGTCATCTGGGGTCCCAGGCAGTGAGATGGGACCAGCAGCCACAGGTAGAGGTGCCCAGGAGGCCAGAGGAACAGACAGAGGCACCCGGGATTCCAGGATGGCCAGGTGGCGGTGCCAGGGCCATCTGAAGCAGAAGCTCAGCCTCTAAGAACAGACCTAGTGGAGCAGGGGAGGAGGGTTCGGGTCAGTGGCTCCAGGAGATGAAACATTTCTTTCCTCCTAACCTGGTACTTCATAGAAGATTCCAGAGTCCCAGCAGTAACATTCAGACATAGACATCTGCTCATTGATCGTGATGGTGGACCAGGGATGGAAGGCTGCCCACAGCCTCATTGGAGAGTGTGAAGAATGGGCCCTGAGGAGGAACGAGGCCCAGATACCCTGTTCTGGACACCTCCCCGCCACCCGCCCGGCAGTGGGGCTGTTAGAACTCGGTTTGAGGCTCACAGGTGGAGTCTGCCACTGATAGCTTGGCCCTCAGCCACATTCTCCAGACATGGCTTGCCAGCTAGCCAGTGAACTCAGGTCCCTTCTGTCTCTTCTGACACAGTGAAGAGGGGCACAGAGCTGGGCCTGCAGGGCATGCTGCAAAGACCCGGGTAAGCTAAGGGGGGCCGGGAGACTAGGCTCAGTAAAACAGGCCATCCCCTACCACGCAATCTGAACACCCAGGGCCAGAGCCCACTCAAAGCCAGCTTGCGTCCCCTCAAAGGCCTCGGGTACAAGCAGGTCTCTGCTTATGCACCCAGGTCCCTGGTGGGAGAGGAAGACAGAGCCGAACTGCTTGCAGACAGGGAGAGGCCAGTGCAGATCACAGCTGGGGACCAGGCAGTGGCCAGGAACTTGGGTGTGGTGCCTGACCGCTGGGCTTGTATCTGGCTCTGCCACTCATCAACTCAAGTGACAGGAGGCTGCTGTGCCTCTCTGAGCCTCCACTTGCTCATCTGTAAAGTGGAAGGGCACGACAACTATTCACGGGGTGGGTTTAGGACACCACCACTGGGTAGTGCATGGTGAAGGGCTCAGGAAATGCTAGGTCTCATTATTATGCCAGAGCCAAAGGCCAGTTCACCGGCTGCTTTGGGGAGAGACAGAACAGAAGGATAGAGCAGGGCTCTGCACTGGGCACAGGGAGCCCCTTGGGGGCTCTGTCCCAGACAGAGACTTTGGGGCAGGAGGTGGGAGGAGGTTGCAGGTGGAGGCCACACACATTTTCAGCAACCTCTGAGCCTTGGCTTGCAGGAGACAGACCCCCCACCCCGGGGCCTGGTCAAGTGTGGAAGCACCCTTCATCCCAGCTGTGAACCTGCAGACGTTATATAATGTGTTCCACTTAACCTTCCTAATTCTCTGCAGGTTGCAGACTCCAAGCTGCTGGGGCTGGTGCCCCAGGCAGGGGGACCAAGGGGCAGGCTGGAGAGGGCCACAGCTTGAACAGGTGGAGGGTCCCTGTTAGGGGGTGAAGGAGCCTGGCCAGTGAGGCTGCAGCATTCCGAGGGGCCTTGGGAGGGGCCTGATTGCAGCCCCTTCCACCCTCACAGACTGCACAGGGAACGGGGTCCTGCCAGCTTTCTGCAGAAGCCATGCACTCCGAATGTCCCCCAGGGGTTCAGCCTGTTGTCTGGCAGGGAGGGCCGTGTTCCCAGCACTGTGTGAGGTGGGGAGAGGATCTGGAAGACAGTGATTGGGTTTCCTTGCTTCTGTTCTAGGCTGGAAGCTAAACCCCGTGGTAGGTGCGGTCTATGGACCTGAATTCTATGCAGGTAAAGGCTGGAGCCGTGGAGCAGGTTGGGTGGGCCTGGCTGGGTGTTGGAGGTCGTTGGCCAGGCAGTTCTGGGTGGAAGGCCCGGGCAGGGCTGACGGGAGGCATAGCCCGGAGGGGGCGGCCCGGTAGGTGAGTGTGGGTGGGGGCGGGGCCCGGTGGGGCGACATCCCGGGTAGGCGCCTGCTCTCACGATGAGGATTGCCCTCTCACCGTCTCCTCTCTGGCCCCCTTCCCTGCAGTGACGGGCTTCCCCTACCCCACCACGGGTACGGCTGTTGCCTACAGGGGTGCACACCTACGGGGCCGGGGCCGGGCCGTGTATAATACGTTTCGGGCTGCGCCGCCCCCACCCCCCATCCCAACTTACGGAGCGTGAGTATCTGGGGAGACCCGGAGAGGGAGGCACAGAGAAAGGCCCACGGGGCACAGAGAGGGAGGCCAGGGCAGCCAGAGGGAGGAGGCAGCCTTTCCAAACTGAGGGGGCTGTGGGAACCCCCAGACCTGCACACCACAGTCACCTCCATACTAGTCAGCACTCCCTGCCCCACCCTGCCACGGGGCCCAAGGGTCACTGGCATTTAGGGGGACCATCAGAGCCCCAGCCCCTTGCAGAATGCTTCAGTGGGGTGGTGGCTGGCCCTTGAGCTCAGGGAGGCCTTCTCTAAGCCTTCCCTGGCCCTTTTCCCAGGGCTGGTGTCCCTGCCTCTCACGGGGGACAGCTGCCTGGCGTGGGGTGGAGGCTGGGTAAGCAAGGTGGGCCCGTGGGCACCTGGGTTGGTGGGAGAGAGGAGCTGACCAGCAAGGATGTTACTCTATTGTTGTACCAAAACAGGGCACTGGAGCAAACGCTTGTTAAAATGCCAGCCCCATGGGCAGGGCTGGTACCCTGCCCCCTCCCTCCTCAGCAGACACCGGAGCCGGCCTACCCCGCCTCTCCAGCGTTCCCACCACTTTCTTGTCCGTTTGCTTCCAGGGTCGTGTATCAGGATGGCTTTTATGGTGCTGAGATTTATGTAAGTGCGGCCCTGGGGGAGGGAACGTGGGCCTGGCACTCAGTGAGCCCTCTCCCTGGCCCTGCCCCAAGCCCCCACCCGACTCTGTCCTTGGAACCCAGGAGGGCACCACCTGCCCAGAGCACTGTGTCCCTGGGTGCCCCGCCCCGGCTGAGTCTGGTCAGCCCTGCCTCTTGGGGAGCGTTAATGGCTCTCCCAGCCCAGGGAGCCAAAGCACGCTTCTCCACTTCACAGGCATTGCGTGATGGGGGCAGTGGGTGACCCTCCCCTATCCCTGACCACGTGGGCTACTGACTGAGCCCCTGTGGGCACCCCATGTCCAGTATAGCAGCCTGGAGACTAGGAAGCAGGGGCCCCAGTGGACCCTTTGGTGGGGTCCTGTCGCTTCTCTCTTCGTGGGGCTGCTTCCTCTAGCTCGGAGCCTCTAGTTCAACATCCTCTTTAAGCCAGAGCCAAGAGGCGGCAGAGCTTACGCCCTTTGCCCTTGACCCTTCCCAGGGTCCAGGAGAGCACCCAGTGTCACCATGGATTCACCATGGCCTCAGTCAGTGGCTCACTGGCCTGGTGGTGCCTACTGCGTGCCAAAGCCTTGAACACAGATACGGAATGGTGCCCGCTCAAGGGTATGGAGTGAATGGATGAATGAACGGACATTTCTACCTCACCTTGAGCCATGCCACTCAGTCTGCAGACCTCAGCCCTCCCTTAGACCAGAAGCTAGGTGCCCCCAGGCCTGTGCCAGCTAGCCCTCACCTGGCCAAGGTGAAGGTTGACGGGCTGTGTCTGCCCCACTGAGCCATGTGCGTCTCTCCCCCTTACCCCGCAGGGAGGCTATGCAGCCTACAGGTACGCTCAGCCAGCGGCAGCGGCAGCCTACAGCGACAGGTACCACCGGGGGCAGAGTGGGCAGGCAGGGCGGGATGGACAGGTCCCCTAGGCCTGGGCTCAGACGGACAGGAGCCTTCCCACAGCTCAGGGTCCCGGCAGGGGGGACCCATCTGAATGGGCTTGGAGGCCTCTGAGCCTGAGGGTCCGTGACTTCTTTAGTCACTTGCTGCCTGCACGACAGTGGTGGCCTCAGGTGAAAAAGGAGCGAGGGAGCCTGTTTCTGCCCCTAGGAGCCCTCTGATCCTTCTCAGAGCCCCCAGGTCTCCAGCCCTTAGCTCTGGCAGAGAAAGGTGGAGCGTCTGCCTCCTCCCAGGGTGCAAGAGACCAGGCGGGCAGCACCCACTGTTTAAGAGCAGCCAGCCCTCTGCCCAGCTGCCAGCACACCCAGAGGCTGGTGGGTGACTCTTTGTCTTGAGGGCAGGTTCTCCAGGGTCCCCAGGGTGGCCCAGCTGGACGCCTTTCCCCGTGGGCACTCGGCCTGTGGGCCACAGAGCTCCCACATATGGAAGCCTAAGTCCCTGTGGCTGGCCTGGGGACCACTAGACGCTCCTTGCTAGTGTCAGGTGGCACCCTGGGACCCACGCCTTCCTCCCAGCCCCTCGCTGCATACCAGGTGCATGTGAGTTTTGTCAGGTGCACAGTAGGCTGCATGCCCTGCCCTGTCCCCAGTATTTCACCCACGGTCAACCCAGGGAGGGGAAGGCCTTCAAGGGGGCACAGTGCCACCCCTTTGTGGCGACACACTCCCCTGCCCCCTGACCATCCCTCCCTTTTTGGAACCCCTCCAGTGCATCCCTCTTCTTTATGGGGAACCAGGTTTCTTCTCCCTCTAGACCAGCTCTGTGAGGACCCCCTGTTCTCTCCTTCATGGCACCTGGTAGAGTGCTTTGTCCCCCGTCAGCGTCAGCACACACAGGATGTATTGAGAGGGGGACAGGCTGTGTTCTTGATGCCTCCATCCACCAGAAGGATGGCAAGGGAGGTGTGCAGGGGAGGGAGAGGCCTCAAGGTGGGACCGCGGTGAGGAGGATGCTCATGAAATGTCTGGGAGGGGGTGCCAGGCCTGTGGCCACCCCTCACTGGACCCTGTACCTCCCCCTCCTCCCCGTGTCCATCTCCCAGCTACGGCAGAGTCTATGCGGCCGCTGACCCCTACCACCACACCATCGGCCCCGCTGCGACCTACAGCATCGGAACCATGGTAAGGGGCTGGGGCCAGCCTGGCCCTCAGCTCCCACTGTGACGCGGAGGCCCGCGCTGCGGCGGGCGGGTGGGCTGGTCCTTAGGAAAATGGCCCAAACCTCTGGCCTGCGCCTCAGTCCTGGTGCCAGAAGGATGAAGGCCCGGATTTGACCTGGGGGAACACTTGCCCCGCTGCACGCTCGTGGAGTTACAGGGGAGCAGAGTGGCCTGATGGTCAGATGGCCCATAATGCCGCAGTCCCTGGGAGGCACCCAGTTTTCTGAGCCCCGTAACTAATTCCTACCCGAGCCCTCCACCCTGGTTTACCCCTGTCAGGAAAACCAAATAGAACCTTCCCAGCAGGGGCTCCGGAGCCCAGCTGGGCCCCTGCTTCCCTCGGGTGGGTGTATCCCTGCCATGGTCCCTGTGTCACCCCCTGCCACGCCTTTTCCCACATCAAGGAGGGCCCCGGGAGGCCTATTTCTCACCCAAGCCCTCCTCCCTGATGGAGCTGGGACTGCAGCCATTCTCCTGGGGAAATGGGGCCTGTTCCCCCTTAGCCTCTGCCCTTTGGCTTCAGGAGGCCTGGAGGGGGACACACTCCCGAGGGGCTCGGTGTGGCCAGAGGTGTGCGGGCCAGTGTGTCTGTGTGTGTCTGTGTGTGCGTGGCCAGATGTCAACACAAACAGCCCGGCTCAGTCTGTACCCTGACATCTTCCAGTGGACACCTGCCTCCGGGGCCCAACCCCAGTGGGGATTAATGTCGGTTTTTAGCTAGCTTGGCATCCAGCATCAAAGATGAAAACGTTTTTAGGGGGGTAAAAGGGAGGGAGGTTCAGAGCCAGTAGGGATTTTTTCTGTCTCCCTGGTTTTGATGACTCCCTCCCAATTTTGTTTTGTCTTTTTTGATTTTTAACAAGCCTCAGACATCCCACATGGCCTGTGGTGACTGCTGGCAGTGACAGGGAGCAGGCCTTTGGGGGAACCCCACCTGCTCCCAGATGGAGCCCCCAGAATGGCAGCCTGCAGGCCCCTTGGCCCCAGGACCGGCCCGGGCCCCCCCCGTGCAGCTGCTAGCTAAAAGCTTTCATTAATTCACAGGGGGGTCCCGCCTATTCCCGTTTTTTATTTTTTGGATTTTTCCATTTTTTCCCCCAACTTTTCTTCTCTGGAACTTGCCATTTTCTTCCCTTTCCTGATGAAACCGGTGGGTGGGGTGGGAGGCTCCCATGTGGAATGAGAGGACCAAAGAGCTGTCCTGCCCGGCCAGGTGGAGGGCCAGGCCCAGCTGGGCCCTGAAAAGGGAGTGGAGGCCCAGGGGCCCCAGAAGGCCCCTTGGAGCAGGGTGAGCGGTGCAGCCCCTCCTGGGGAGCCAAGCCCGTGGAATGCCAACAGGAGGGCCCCCCACCCTTCCCATGGCTGGAGGGGCTGAGTCCTGCCCCACGGCAGCCCTGCTGGGGCGCTACGGTGGTGGGGTTCTGGCTCAGACCTGCCCCCAATTAAGGAGAAAGGGGGCAGCGAAGGGCCAGGCCTGACAGAAGAGTTGCCAAGAGGTAACGCAAACCCTCACATCCAGAAGCACTGAGCTGATGACCCCGGCACTCCTGACCGGCACGTCTGAAGTAGGCGCCCCCCCTCCCCCGCCCACTGCCGTGACAGCCAGCACCCATTCTCCCCAAGGCAAACAATACGGGGCTGGGGGGCAGAAAACAGGCTTTAGCTCTTTTTGTTTTTCCTTATTTTTTTTCTTTTTGCTTTTTCGCCCCCTACCAAAAGGTGGTACTGATTGGCTGTTTTTCATCTTTGATGTTGCAGGCTAGCCTCTGCCGAGGAGGGTACAGCCGCTTCACCCCCTACTAGCAAGAGGCCCGGCCCCTAACAGCATTCACTGACTGCCTAGTACACACCAAACCCAGCAGCCCAAAGGCAGGCACAGCCTCCCGGAGGACAGTGAGCCCCTCCTGGCCAGCGACATGCACCGCTGGCCTTCTCGACCTAAGTCCATAGGTTTCACCTCCAGCCAGCTGGGCCCCCCTCCATGGCATGTGTGTCTTTGCCCTGGTTACCTCTGTATGTCTGAAACCTTGGTTCCTATCTGGCTTTGTTGACGATGTGCCCCCCTCCCCAGCCACTGCAGGTACAGTATGCACATAGTGGGAGGGGCTAGGCTGGGCAGAAGACCTCTCCCCAAGAACTAGCAATACAGCCCGTGAGGTCAACACCCACTCCCCGTCCCCATCCCTGGGGCCTCAGAGGACACCCGGCCAGGCCTTCCCAGGAAGCCACCCCTGCCAGGGGCTCAGGGGGTACAGAGTGCCTGGCCACACCGGGTGGGGGCTTCCCAGATGAGACTGTGCCCCCTTCTGACCGCCGCCCAGCTCCTCACAGGAGGAGCTGTCTCTGCCCTACGCACACCTGTCCCGCTGGAACTAAAACTAACATTTCTGATTAAAGTCTATGGACAACGTTTACTGCCAAAGTAATCACCAGTTCGCCCAGAAGCAAACTGCTGCTGCCCCACCGGCCTCGGGGGCTGGTTGGCCTCTGCTCTAAGACCTGACAAGTGTAGGAAGAAGTCCTCCCACCCTCCAGGCCAAGGTGATAGCTGACCCCCCGCCCAGCCCGCCTAGCAGCAGGCTCTCCCCGCTGGCCACCCTCCCCGGGGGCCCCTCAGTACCACCTGAGATGGGGTCCCAGCCAGCCTGGCACTGTTCATACTTGAGCTGCAGCACCACCTTCCCTTTCCCCAAGTTCGGAAGCATCTTTTAATCAGGCATTCAGAAGGGTGGGAGCCTGCACAGGAGAGCAGGTGATGCCCATGCCCAGGCTTCTCTGGGATGACCTCCCGCCGAGAGGCTGGGTGCTCAGCTCCGTACCGTTCCTGGGGCTGTGCAGGGCTCTGGGAGGAGATGCTAGCAGGGGCTTGTAGGCACAGCTGACAGTCTGGGGAACGTCTGGAAGAGTCTAGCCAGGACAGCCGGGGCCCCTGTAACGTGCCACAGCTGGGCTTCCGGGGTGTCGATGGACCCCTGCAGAGTGTGCGTTCCTGGACAGCCAGGACGTGACCTGCCTCCCGTTTCACCGGGGGCTTCCATTCTTTGCTGGGGGAGTGGACAGACCATGCCCAGGGTGCCCAGTCCCCTCTCCTCCCACTGCCCAGGGTACTACCTGTTCGGCTGTCCCATTCCAGGCCCCCACATGGCCCGTGCTGTGCCATACGTCCATCCATCGCGCCTGACCTCTGTCTTTGTCCAGGCAGGGCCAGCCAGGCCTCTGCCCGCTCAGCTCTTCGTGGAGCCCAGCCCGGGCTGCTGTTTGTCCTCTCCTGCCACCCTGTGTCCCCAAGTCCACAGCCTGTACCCGGAGTGTGTCTGCTTTCAATTCACCTTACGCGGGATGATGGGTTCCCAAAAGCTGGGCGTCGGGGCAGGTCTAGGAGCACCAGGATTCTAGGCCCAGGGCCCATGCCCCCCCGTCGGCCCCTCGGGGCCTCGGGGGCCAGGGCCCCTCACGGCACACCTGGCAGTCGCTCCTGTGAGACTGCAAGCCCTGCCTTTCTGTTTCTGTTGTAGTGAAAGCTCCCACCGTTTCCTTCTTGGACCATGAAGGGCAAAAAACAAACAAACAAAAAAAAAATCACAAAACAAAAAACAAAACAAAAAAAGATGTTAAGATCCAACCAACAAAAAGCCAACCAGACCGAGAAGCATCCTCCACGCCCACGTCCCGCTAGCCGGCGCACACCTCCGCAGGGGAGCACGTCCGCAGGCTGGCGCAGAGCCCAGCCCCAGCCTCCAGGCAGCAGCACAGGTCAGAGCACCCCTCCCGACGCGGGCAAGGGCTCCGTCTTCTATCAAGTCTTCCTCCCCCGGCCCCCGACTCCAAGGCACATGGAGCCCAGCAGTGGGGCGGGCCGCAGGCCCGGGCAGGAGGAGCGGGCCTACAGGACCGGACCTTTGTTGACCGCCGCACCCAGGGGGTCCAGCTGGGCTGGAGCGGGCCGGGAGGGGGCCAGCTTTCCATTCCCAGGGCTCTGGCTTCGTCCCCATCACCTCCGGTGCGGCACTCCGGGCCCCAGCTGCCCCTCATGCCGTGCCGACACCCATGTCCTGCAAACCTGGAAGGAGTGTGCAGGCCGCCAGAGGCTGGCTGACCAGCAGCCCTGGGGCCTGACCCAACAGCAAGGGCTGATGTGGTTCCAGAACTGTGGGGTACCCAGGCCCCCTTCCTCATGTGAGGGGGCCCCTGGGCAGCCCAGCCAGGATGGACTCATGCCTGAGCGTGGAAGGCTGGGAGCCTTGGGGTCGAGGACTTGCTCTGACCGGCCATCTCTTACTCCCTTTCTGGAGGAGGCCCTGGGCCTGGTCTGTTGGTGGGAAGGCTGCCCTGCTGCCCACTGGGACGAGGCCTCCCCGCCCCACCACCACCCTGCGGAGCCCAGTCCTGCAGGGGAGAAGAGGGGTAGGCCAAGCCAGTGTGTGGCCACGGGGCAAGGCTGGAGTCACGGTGCTGTGGGTCTGGACGGCCACACCAGGGCAGGGAGCGCAAGGAGCAGGCCTGGGCAAGCCCTCCCCAGGTCAGACCCCAGGTGTGGGGAGAGCAGCCGGCAGGCAGCAGAGGGAAGCCCACGGCCAGGCAGGGAGGGCTGGAGCAGGGAAAGCAACTAACGGTAAGACACAGGCTCCCAGCATGGTTCCGGCTCGTGAAACTCGGCAAGTAAAAAACACGCCTCACTTTATATTCAGCATCAGCTCCTGGAGCTCCTGACGCGAGTGTCCTTTTCTAGTCCCGGTGTACATAGCCCTGCCCGCCCGCCGTCCACTGTACAGCACCCTGCCCTCCGCTGTGGGGCCCTCACCGCAGCTCCACCCAAGCCCGGCCCCTCCAGGCCTGCAGCCAAGGCTTCCTCCTCACCATTCCGTATGCTTCCAAGGTGTGACCACTCAAATCAACAGTGTTATTAAGATTATTAATAAAGAGTTCTTTCTTCAAACCAGGACAACTCTTTTTGATTTGGCAGCTCCAGGGCACAAAGGGTGGCAGGCATGGGAGCATGCAGACATGGCCCGGCGTGGGCCCAGGACGGCAGCTTGTCCCAGGATACAGCCAGCCTGCCTTCTGCTGAAGCCAGGTGGCTGGGGGAAGTCAGAAGACACTTCTGGGCACAAGACCCTAGAGCCCAGGCCTCCAGACTGCCCTCTCCCCACCCGGGCCCTGCACAGACTGGGCACTGGGCTCCCACAGCCTTGCTCTCCCCTGCCATACGTGTGCCACATTACGGGCAGATGACTAGGTAAAGGGCAGCCTTGGCCCCCTCACAGTGCTGGGCACAGCACACACCTCGCTGGAACAGAGGCACCCAGGAGGCAGAAGGGCACCCTGCCTGCTCCATATGGCACCCAAGAGCTGTGGCCAGCCACTGAGCAAGAAAGGCACAGAGCAGGGGCCCCCAGGGCGGCCAGGCTGCTGCAGCGGCAGGGAGGGCCTCCTGCCTCGCTCCCACCCACCACTGGCTCTGCCAGCTGACAGGGCCGCCCGGCCAGAGGAGCTGCCTCAAGGTGAGCCCACTGCTCCAGGCTCCACTGGGGTTGCCCCATGCCTGGAAGGCTGGGGCAGAGGGGCCACCATCCTCAACACCCCCCAGAGGAGAGAGAACCAGGAAAGGAGGCAACGGAAAGCAAACAGCGTGCAAAGCCTTGGGCTCGGCGCTGGGATGGGCCCAAGGCCACACGAGCCACACTGTGACACATCCCACCAAGACAGGTCTTCGTTTCGCACAACAGATCATTTATTTCTGAACGATTACGCCCAACAGGAGAGCACAGGCCTCAACACCAACATGATTGTCCTGCACGTGAGCTCAGCCATCAGGGGGCTGCGACTGTGCTCCTGGGGGACTGGGGTTATGATTCGGAGCACTGTGCTCTCCTAAGCCTGCTCTCCAAACTGGGGGGAAATAATTGCCACTATAAATTTCCCTCCTCTGGATAAAATATTTGGGGGAACCAGAACTTAAAAAAAAACAGATGAAGTGAGAGTAGCCTGACTGCCGCCCGACTCCCACCTCTGGGGACACAGGGAGAAAGGCCTGGGCCTCCCCAACCCCAACCCTAGTTCCCTCTGGTTCAAAACAGAAGGGGCCCCACATGCTCCGGGGAACCATCAAAACCCACAGACCAGGCGGGCAAGCAGCTCCAAGCAGCAGCAGCTCCTGCCCTCCCGCCCCCTCCCCATCTGGGCCGCCCCAGATTCACGGGGAGAACCAGTGATGGGGAACCTGCATTTCAAAGCCACTCAAAGCCACTCGGCAGAAATACCTTCCCTTCCTGCAGAAGCTTCTCACCCTCTCTGCTGGGCACACCCACTTCCAGTCCTGGACTGAGCCGGCGGGGCCGCGTGTGGGTGTGAAGAGCAAAACGCTCGTGGTTAGGTAAGAGCCTGGAAGCCGAGGGCCCCCGGGTCTCACCGTGAGAGGCACGTGGGCACCTGGGAAGGCAGGACGGGCGGGGGCAGACACCGGCCCTGGGCAGAACTGCTTCTGCTGTCCAGCAGGCTGACAGGCAGGTACCCCATACCTCCCCCAATTCCAAGGACCAGGACCAAGGCGGTGTGGCCACACTGCCACCTGGTGGCTGCCACCTCACTACAACATAAAATCAAATTTATCCTGAGCTGAGCTAAGAGGCCGACCCTTAGGTGTGACCTCCAGCTGGGAGGTCACCCCAGAGTGGCCTAACCCGTAGCACCATTCCACAGGCCGTAGCACAGGTGGACAAGAGCAATGGTGGGAAAGTAGCCCCCATAATTGGCCCTTTAAGGCCTGGGGGGGAGATACCCCAAGAATGAGGGACCCTGCTCAGGTGTACCACAGGATCACCCAAGGCCGTGGGGTCAAGACCCCACCCCAGGAGGCCACGCTGGTGGCCCAGGTGTCAACAGGGAAGCTGTACGGCTGGAGAAGTCATCTCCAGCTCACGCTTTCCCCTGTCCTCGTGCAGAGCCACAGGTCAGCCTCAGCTCGGGCAGAGGGAGGAGGGCGCTAGAAGACAGAAGGAAGAGAAGAGGGGCCCAGCGGAGAGACCCCAGCATGGCCCAGTGTCTGTGCTAATACCTACTCAAGCGGTCTTCCCAGCCCTACGCCGGGAGGGGCTGAGAGGAGGCTGTGAAGGAGCAGCGCCCCCACCAAGGCTCCCTGGGCCCCACCAGGCCTCCTGCTGCCTGCTGCCCAGGCCTGGGGGGCCTCACTCACCGGGCAGAGGCAGAGCCGCGGTGCATACACTGCAAACTTTGCTTGAACCTACAACCCCAAAGTCACAGCCAAACACAGGGCCAACGGAATGCTCCAGAAATGGGTCCTGCTCATGGGGACAAGCCCACTGAGAAAGCCACCACACGAGGGGGTCTGGACTGCGGCAGCCCACCTTGCCCAGGTGCAAGTGCAGCCCATGCCAACCTGGCCCTAGCTCCCACTCCTAAGGGGAAGCAGGCCAGATCCCAGGGTACCACTTCCCAGGCCCCCACAGGGGCCCACCGTTCCACACAACACACCCCAACCAGCACCCCCTCTGCTAGCTCAGTACTTGTCCTGTCCTCAGAAGTGTCTTCCTGCCACAGTTTAAGTTCATTTCCAATTGTTCCATCTATGGGAATAAAGGTCCCCATTCTCAGCAGAAGCATCTTCCAGTCAACTGGGAAACACCCTTTGTAGAATGTTCTGGACTAAACACTTCCAAATCCTTTCATTATTACCCAGAAACTATATCCTGTGGAAAGGGATTAGACAAAAACTGGGGTTCCAATACTCGGGGAGTCACTGACCCAGCAAACTGACTTCTCCGTTTCCCTATGAGCAGTGCCCACCAGAGTACGCCTCAGCCACAGCCTGTGACCCAGGTCTTCCCGTCACTGCCTGAGCCCCAGTGCAGAAGAAGCCTTCGCCTTGAGCAGGGAAGCCCCGTGCTTTAATGTTCGTTCACGTTTGGGGCGTGGAGTAGAGCATGACTGCCCTGCCCCACTCGGCCTGTGGCACCAGAAACCCCTCCTTGGTGACAGGCTCCACTAGGAACTCCACACGGCCATCCTGTCCAGGCCCTGCAGCTGCCACTGCCAGATCCACTATCCGATACTGGTTGACAAAAGCCAGGCCCAAGAGCGTGGGCTTCTCTGGCCCCGGCAGGCCCCTGCTGGGAGAGCCCCTTCCTGTCCCCAGGTAGCAGTGGATGCGGAAGGCCCGGGCACGGGGCAGGAGGCAGGACCAGTGCAGAGTACAGCTGAGCCTCAGAGCAGGGGGTCCTGCCCCCTCAGAGGCAGCCAGCTGCCAGCTCACATGTGAGACAGTGACAGCCTGCACCTGGGGCAGGGGGGCCAGCAGGCTGCTGGCATCCAGCACCTGGCGGAGGAGAGAAGGCTCAGCACAGCCCCAAGCCTGGGGGATGCCCCACTCCCCACCTCTGCCCCACTCCCCTCCGAGCAGAGTGGTAGGCCGGGCACAGCTCAGGACAGCACCCTGCCTCCTTGGCAGCAGACAGACCATCCCAGCCCTGAAGCAGCCCCAGAGCGCCTCACCTGGATCTCTCCAAGGCGGCAGACAAAGCTCTCCTCCTCCTGGCTGCCTGGAGGCCGAGAGAGGTGAACAAAGAGGTCCTGCAGGAGGCAGCCCTGAAGATTCACCTCATAGCAGCTGGGGGAGGTGGGGGAGGCTGGTCACAGGGGCCCGCCTCAGTCAGCACCTCCCAGGCTGGCTGTTCAGAGGCCCCGAGCCGCAGCAGGAGGGGAGAGCCATCCCAGAGTGGACCTGTAGTCGGTGGGAAGCCCTGGCCTAAGGCACGCCCTTGACTGCTCCCGGCAAGCATCCTGGGTTTGTGTCAGGGAGCTGCTAAGACCTGGGGGACTGGCCCGGGGCCCCTCCACCCCCCCAGATCTGGGGCTTCTCAATGGAGAGCCCCTCACTCAAGTCCCCACCACAGTGTAGCCGTCCCCTGCTGGGACTCACCGCTGGACCCAGCCCCTGCTGAGTTGCTGGCCGCAGTGGCCCACCCATCGGGTCAGCTTGATGGGGGGCACCTGAAGGGGTCGGGGCCTGTGCCTTGAGTTCATCTCTGCTGGGGAGGAGCCACAGGACTTGAGAATGAGGACGGAGTCCAGAGGAAACCACACGGGGGGTGCTCCCTGAGCAGAGGAGCCCCAGGGAGCCAGCAGGAGTCCATGGCAGCCCCAGGCATGCATGACCACGGGGCCGGTGTGAGACCTCAAAGTGGAGAGGCCCAGAACAAGCCACAGCCTCACTCTCCTGGCTTCTTCCCATGCCGTGGACGTCCCCCTTCCCAGGCCACAGCTGGTAGGGGCCCCGCTCCCCGGGTCTCTGCAGCCAGAGACAGTGCTGCCCCGTGGGCCAGAGGTACGCTGACAGGTGAGGAACCCTGTGCAGGCCTGCAGCACATGGCGCCAACGACAGCAGTGGCGGGACTTGCCCAACACCGCCAGCACCAGCTTCCTGGCCCCATGCACCGATTCTCTTCACTGGGGAGAGGTGCCAGCCAACCCCGGTCCTCACCGTTCAACGCCGAGATGCCACCAATGTGACAGCTGTCTGCATCCCCTGTGGTGAGCTCCAAAGCTACCCTGACATCCGAAGGCCCCTCGAGCTTGTATACCATGGACAGGAAGACTTTGGGTGGCAGTGGGACGTGCAGGGAGAACAACCTGGAGGAAGGTGCAGCGATGAGAGGCCACAGAGGCCTGCTGGGAGCCCGGGGGCTCCGGGTCACAGCCACCAGCTCTCCCTCCGGAATAGGGAGGGAGGCTGGGGTGCCCCGTCCTGCCCACGGCTGAGGACAGCCTCCCCCAAGGCTCGGTCATTTCGTGGTTACGAAATGCCATGGATTCCCCTCAAAAGAGGTGCCAGCGCAGTCAAAGTCACAGAAACAGAAAGTAGAGTGTGGGTGCCAGGGCAGAGTGGGGGCAACTCCAGTCTGCAAGGTGAAAGGGTTCTGCAGGTTGGTGGTACATCACACAGATGGCTAACACCACTGGGCCATGCACTCAAAAATGGGTGAGATGGGAAAGCATGTATCATGTGACTTTTACAACAAAAAGAAATCTTGGTTCTCCAGCCTCATTCTGGCTTCAGCTGCCCATCAGCCCAGTTTAACGAACGTTATGAGTGACGGCAGAAGCGGGGACACCCGCGCCTCCCCCTACCATGCACCCACCTCACGGCCACGTTTCCAGCCTCGGGCGGAAGCACCCCCCGGATCAGCAGGGAGCTGCCCCCGTTCCAGGCGTCCGCCAGGCAGCAGAGGGTCTTCACCCAGCCCCGCCCATCCTCGGTCAGCCGGCGCTCTCCGAACAGGGGCTGCAGTTGCTGGGCACTGGGGTGGTACCAGGGCCCCACCGCCTCCTCCTGAAGGAAAAGGCAGATCAGCAGGGGGGCTGGGGCCAAAGGAAGCAGGGTGCGCAGGACGGGATGAGAAGGGGCAGAGCCCCCTTCGTGTAGCCAGGGCGCCTCCCACCTCCCCCAGGTGAGGCCCAAGGATGCAGAGGCAGCCCCTTCGCCTCGACCAGCACCCCACTGCCCTGGCCCCTGGCGTACCAACCCACACACCTGACCATAGCAGACTCTTCGAGTGCCCATGCCCAGGCAGAAAGAAGTGACAAAGGGCAAGGAGCAGATGCTGTGGGTGGGCAGGTAGTGTTCCAGCAAATTCCAGAACCTGCAGAGACAGGAAGGCAGCAGCTCAAGTCCAGAGTGAACTCACTCGTTAACAGGCTTTCCTGTGTCCCTCCCGGAGTGCCAGCAACACCCCCACCGGGAGGCGCAAGTCTGCAAAGTGCCCCTCACAATCCCCACCCTTCATCCTTCCTGCTTAACTGGCCTCCAGGACCCTCCCACCAGGAAGCAGAGCCCTCATCCTGCCCTAAACCACCCTCTCAACTAAAAGTCAGTGGAGAGCAAGGCTGGGCTACTGTGAGAGGCCTGAGAAATCACTGGAGACCCCACCCTGCCATCAGCCCATGCTAAACCCCTGGGATGGGCAGGACTCACCTATCCTGGTTCTGGAAGAAATTTCTCTTCTCCAAGCACTCGTACACCCAGCCAGGTGCAAACAAAGCTGCCGAGAATCCATGCTTCCGGATCAGCTCCAGGGACTAGGGAGACAGCAGGCGGGGTGATGCCCTATCCAGGCAACGCTGGGCACATGAGCACACAACAGCGAGCAGACACACAGGCCAGCCTGGAGACAGGAGGCTGGGCTGGCGACTCCTCCCTCCTACACCACGTGGGGCTTTTAGGAGGCATCCCCAGTGGTTCCACATGCGACCAGAAGAGGGTGCTACAGCAGTGGTGGGGAGAAAGGCATGGAGGGAAATACCCAGGCGGGCAGGTGCCTGCAAGTGGGGGCACTACCCAGCTCCGAGGCTCTGGTTCAATACACCTCTCATTATGGTAACAGACTCACAGGAGGTGGAGAGAATCTTCACTTACTGTATTAATCTACTCACTTAAAGCTTAATGAATGAGTGGGAACATCTCCAGAGCACCAGGACAGAGGCAGAACTGGCAGCCGGGGACACGGGCTGGCCCCCACCCACCCCACACTGGGCGCACAGCCCCGGCAAGCCCCCTTCTCCCTTCTCACCACCGGCAGGACCTGCCTTGCCTGGACTATCTCCCTGGTTGTTCAACCAGCAGCTCCCCAAACAGTGGGTGTTTTCCCCTGGTCCTTAGCCCCGGGCTGCCGGGGAAGGAAGTGCTGCAGGACGCCTCCAGAGTTCCCCAAGTCCACCAGTGGCTTAAACGTCGGCTCAGTGCCCTTCAGGCATGCAGCCTGAGAAGAAGTAAAAGCTAGCTGGAGCAGGACCAGTGGTCGGAGACGGTGCTCCTTTCCATTAACACCCGTAGAAAGAACCACCTGACTAGAAGTGGGCTGAAGCCACAACTCTAGGGCACAGCGTGGCCTTAGGACAGGTCACTGATGTTTCATGGTGCCTCGGTTTCCCCACTCTGGGGAGAATAACTGCTGCCTCCCTCTTGAGATGGGAACGGAGGAGGGTCCACAGGAACTAGGCCCTCCAAGGGCACGCAGGCCACTGTCCCACCTCCTCGGCCTCAGACGCCACCACCCACCTTGACCGTGTCGAAACGGCCGCCCACGACGTTCCCCCGGGCGAACACATCCACGCCCACGTACACGTCAGCCAGGCGCTCCCCCGCCAGCCCCAGCATCCGCTCCAGGTGCTCCTCCCGCCAGTTGTAGTTGGTGAAGAAGCCATCACAGGAATCAAAGAACACCCTGAAAGGAGGCAAGGACCAGACGCCCCTCCTGCAGTTGCAGCCTTCTCCCCAAGACAAGCGTCCACACATAACCCAGCCTGGGGCTGCCTCCAGGGCCCGGGAAAGAGCCTGCTCCCAAAGAGCAGGGACCCAGCCCATGAACTATGGCCTTGGCACAGCGCCAGCTGGCAGGCATTACTTCCATGTGCTGGTGGCCAGGACACCGGGTAACTCTGCCTTTGCCCTCTTTTCACCCAAGGCAGCTGTACGTGCCACGCCTCCGGGAGACAGACAGAGCTCCTGCCTCTCCCAGCCCAAAGGGCTGCCCGCCCCCAGGCTCACCTGTTGTGCTCATTCAGTTCGTCTTGCCACTTGAGCTGCCCACTGCTCACCACGCTGTCATACCAGAGCACCAAGCCCAGGGGGACCTGCTGGTGTAGTTGAGCGGTCAGGTACTGGAGGAAGTGGGGCATGTTCTCCACCGCGGCCAGCTGGAGAGGGGATCAGGACAAGACCCTCCGTGAGGCCCAGAGATGTCTGTCATGACAGGTGCCAACACAGGACAGATGGGAGGACACTGAATCCCAGGGACAAACAGGTCCACCATGGTTCCAGAAGCCCCTCAGCCCCTCAGCCACTGAGGGGAGGGTCCAGCCGATGTCTAGCTCTCCTCCCTTTCTGAAGCAGGAAGGACATGGGCACAGTAGTCAAGAAAGGACAAGACGCCATGACAGGCGAAGGCGGAGCAGTGTGACCTGGAAGGAGCCGGAGAAGCAAAGCTCACCCAAGCAAGGTTCCCAGACACGAGGCTAGACCAGGTTCGGTCTCATTGCACAGTAATGGACGTGGCAGAACGGCCCTAACTGGGATGTGGGAAGTGGCTCCAGCTGTTGGAACAGGGGACGAACCTGGGCACACACCAAGGTGAGGCCGAGGAAAGTGGTGGACAGACACCGCATGGCAGTAGGGGCTGGGCAAGCGCCAGGAGAAAGGCCATGCTCACACTCAAAGAGTTCTCAATGTTGATCAGCCAGCCATCAAAATGGAAAAACTCAGCGATCAGGACCAGCTGGTTGGCCACTGCCTGGTAAGAGCGCTTGTCCCCAGCCAGGAAGGATTCACAGAGCTGCCCACCGTCCTTCCACTCCGTGATGAGAGTCCCTGCCAGGGCAGGAGAGAAACGAGGTCAGGCGTGGGAAACTAGCAGCATCAGTACCTCCTGCAAACTCGGCCAGGCATTCAAATTCCAGGCTGGTGCTCGGATCCCAACTGAGCCAGACACCCTGGAGGCTGGGCCCAGCGGTCAGTTAAACAAGCCAATACGTGACCGAGGTTCAGGCAAAGGCTTGAGAAGCTCTACTTTGCCCAAGAGTTGGCCACATCCAGCCACCACCTGCTTTTGTCATTGCAATTTACCTGGAACATAGCCATGCCCACCTATTTCCCACTGTCCAGAGCAGCCACTGTCTTGCTAGCAGCGAGCTGGGCATGTGTACTACCTGGCCCTTTTCAGGAGAAGCATGCCTTTGTCTGTCCTAACCTACCAAGGCAGCCCCTAGGTGAGTGAGGAGCTCTGCTCACTAGAGGCAGGAAGAGCCCAAGCCCCTTCATCGCTGGGTCACCCGGCGGGGGTGCTAAGGAGTCAGAGGTGAGACCTTGGCTCTTACCCAGCACGCAGACCCCATGCCTGTGGGCAGCATTGGTCCAGCCCACTGGGGGGATGGTTACCGTGTGGTGACTGAAGTACACAAAGATGTCAATATACTGCCAGTGGTAGAAGGAATAGGGGTTCTGCACTGCTGCACCCTGAATAAACCTGGGGGAAGAAACAACAAAGTAAGGCCCCAGGAAACAGAATGAGGACGTGGTGACCTCAAGGTGGAGAGAGAGAGCAACGCTGAGGAAAGCCACCCTTCGGTGCTGTTCATTCGGCCCTAACTGAACGCTTGCTGTGCTCCCGGCACTGTGTACACACTGGGCCAAGAGGAGGACGGCCACAGGCCCCACAGCAAAGGATGAGCCTGCAGGGAAGTGTCTTCACCAGGCTGTGCAGCCATTCGCCATCAGACCCGACAGACTAGCAGGTTTAGACTCAATGAACCGATGTAACAGTATGGAAGGAAAGAGAAGCAGGGGGCGGCTGCGAAAGCTCCAAGCATCTGTAGCCAGTGGCAAGCGGCTCCACCAGGACGCAGCCCCACCCATGCAAAGTAGGGGTTAACAACCACATGAGCTGCCCCGGGATTTCATCACCTGCCTCTGCCACCCTGACGGCCGGCTCTGACTCTAGCCTCCCCACCAACTGCCATGTCCAAGATTGCTTTACAGCCGTCTACGATCCTTCACCTGACACCACAGCACCTCTGGAGGAAACATCCCTGGCTGGGAGGGGGAAGGAGTGTAACTGAGCATCTGAAGCCAAAGCCAACAGGCCAAGAAAGGAGTCGGAGCTACAGTGAGGAAGGTGGAGAAAGAAATCAGGTGAGAACCATGTTTCGGGGCACCACCTGCAGGCCAGGCCCCTGCTAGGCCCTCCCCAACCTACCAGGCCTCACAGCTGAAAGAGGTGTGAGCTCTCACCCACCACGATCCTCTTATAGATGCAGCGCTGAGGCCCGAGTTCGTCTCCCAGCCAGCGGCGGCAGCCTGCCTCCCCAGCCAGCGCTCTTCCTGCTGCGGGCACCCTCCCCACCTCCATCCCTTTCACCACAGGAAAACCAGCAGCAACAGGTGGGGCTGGCAGCGTCCTGGCAGTGCCCTCACTTGTCATCCAGGTACCCGCCCATCATGTCATGGCAAAACAGGGTCCGGGGCCTCCGGCTGCTCAGAGGGGGCTGGCGACACGCACAGGGCTCCCAGGCCACGTTAAAGCTGTCCTCCACGTTGGGCGTCCATGCCAAGAGCTCCTCCAGTGAAGACAAGTAGAAGCTGAGGGGCTCGGTGGTGTCCTTGTCATAATATCTAACTGGTCAGAGAAGGGAAATAGTAGGAATCAATGGACTGTGGGAGAAATAGACATGCTGTGACAATAACTGAGAACCTAAGACAGAGGGGGCAGCCCTGCCTGGAAGCCCCACGTGACCCACAGACAGCGCGCAGACCCTTGGTCCTTCTCACCTGGCAAAGGGTCGGGGGTAAAACTGACCACTTCACGGAAGACTGCTTCTTCTCGAGCCTCTTCGGTTCTGCGCAGAGAGAGTTAAATAGTTTTTTAATCAAAGGGTGAAGAAAAAGAACACTTAGAAGCAAAGGGAGGAGGCCCCAGGGAGACATGCAGGGGGAGATATTCTCTGGCTGGGCTTTCAATGCAAATTATGCAAATATATATCAGACCAGAGGCTAGTAGGTGTTGATTGTCCTACAGCAGACACAGGCCAGCCTCTGCTTTGACATACATGCAAATAATACTGTGAATAAACACTTTGCCTCTGTGACACCCGTCCAGCATTAACCTGCAGAGACCAGTTATACTTCATGGGGTCAGCAGGGTTTGCTATGGCCGCGGGGCAGGAAAACTCAAACACCTAGGAAGTTTAAGGCCCGAGAGAGCAGGGGCCAAGTGTTCTCTGCACAGGTCCCTGAGTGTGCTCTGGGGAAGCCTCACTAACTCCCCAGCCCATGGAGGATGGTGTGGGAATGAGAGCACCTTTGGTACACTGAGTTGGAAAACACTGGATAAATCTAAACCAGACATCTTACTTAAAAAAAAACAAGGATTATTATTATTATTAGAGCATGACAAGACGCTGCAGCACCATTTGCTGGCCATGGGCTTTAAAGTTGAAATTCTCTACATCTACCAATGTCTCAGGCCACTTCTTCGTCAATGGGGTACCGTCGGCCAACACCCCACGTTCGTCCAGGGGTCTGCTGCCACGGCTCCGTCTTTAGGATCTGTCAGGCCTGAATACCCACCCAGGACCTCCGGAATGGGGTTGGGGGAACCTCAGAATCACAGGAGTGGGTGGAAGGGGTGAGACAGACTGAACTAGAAATGCACAAGAAATGCTCCTTTCTGACTTCCGTCCCACCACACTCCTCCAACCTCTGCTTGTGATTTCTGTACCCTTCCGCAGCCCCTCCAGCAGCTCTCGGACAACTGTCCATGTCGCCTTGGTCCCATTATTCATCCACCAGGAGGGAGGCATATCTCAACATTCTCCCATCCAAAAACGTCTTCCCCATCGGCCATTCGCTTTCCACCCTGGTTCTCTGTCTGAAACACCACCGGGCAAAGGCCTGGGCCCAGAGGCGCACGCTCCTCCCTGCCACGCCTCTGCGTCGTGCCCACTGTCCCTCGGACCGAAGCACGCTCTGCCTTCTCCACCCACTGAGGTCCTCCTCCCGCCACCGGCTCAGGCGTCCCGTGCAGGCGCCCCTCCCGTCCAGCACCGACAGCAGCGCTCCCGTCACACGGCCGGCCTCCACCGAGCAATTACGAATGCCTCGCCAGGCTCCTCGCGCCCTGCACGGCCAGGAGAGGACCCGAGGCTGCCGGAGCTGCCCCGCGCCGGGCGGGGTGACCGGGGCGGGGCGTGCAGTCGGTCACCAAGGTCCTGCGCCCAAGAGCCTCCCGGGCCACCCTCAGGGGTGCCCGGCTGGCTCTGCCCACCTCCTCCGCGGCCGTCGCCCCGGCCGCCGCTGCCGCTCCGGGGTTGCGGGCGCCCGCAGCTGCCGTGCCAGCCGCCGCGCAGCCGCCCGGGTGGTAGACCCCGCTGCCTCCATGGCGCCGCCGCGCCCGCCGCCGCCCGCCGGCCAATTGCAGGCCCGAGCCCGACCCCCGCCGCTGCCCGCGGGCCAATCGCAGGCCAGCACCGCCCCCGCTCGCTGGCCAATGGGGACTGCTCAGCGAAGCTGCCCCGCTCCGATTGGGCGCCGGCGGAGTTCGGACGCGCTCTGTAGGTCGCTCCGCGGCCGCCGGAACTTTATAGCCGGAGACGTGCGGGGCGGAGCCGCGGCGAGGAGCGGGGACTGATACCAGGGGCGCCTGGTGCGAGGGCCCCTGTCCTCACCGGACCCCCTTTTTCAGATGAGCAATCCCCGACGGTCACAGTCGTATAGTAGTAGGCTGTGCGAGTGAGACCTGGACTCGCTTCCTCTAAACCCTATTCAGGGATAATTTTCAGAAAAAGGTGAAATCGTAATTCTCATTCAGGTATAACTATGGACCAGCGCTAAAGACTGTTCTACTCATTAATCAGCGAAGAAACCAGACAGATGTGACAACCAGTTCAAAAGGGAATCGAAAAAGAAACCCGTTTACAGATGGATAATATTGAAACAAACGAGTATGTCGGTGGAGACAGAACCAGTTTTTCCTCAGGGTGGAGACGAGGAAGACCACCCACCCGGACAGCTGCACGTGGTGAGCGGGCAGAGGAGGCATCGTTTTCCACCCAAGCACACATGTTTTCTACTTCCCCAAACCTGCCCTCTGCGGTAACTGCGGGGTCTCCCACGCACACAGGGCCTGGAGGAACCTCAGAGATGGCACCTCCCAGCATCTTGGGCTCAGAGGAGTTCAGGGTAAATGTTACAGAACTGAGGCCTGAGCGGCAAGAAGCGAGGAGACGCTGGAAGTTTGAGCAGGGCCTGGGAGTCCGGACTCAAGGCTGGGCCCCACAGGGCGGAGTTTGGGCCAGCCTGAGGCACGCGTCACCCAGCCCCCAACACCCCTGGGTGCAGCTGCTGTGCGTGCCTTGTTGGATGGGCCTCCTTATTATGGTTGCAGACTTTGAACTTTATGGGCCCCAAGCTTCCATACACGCTGAGTGGGAAGATGACTAAGCTGTGGAATATGGTTCCTGGCCATGCTGCAGGGAGAATGGGCCGCTTGGGAGTTGGAGGCAGTGACCCAGGGTGGGGACAGATTGCAAAGCCCTGGGAAGTTTTCAGTGAGAAAGAGGAGCAGAGCCACAGAGTTCAGTGTGGCTGCGCTCATGGGAGCACAGATGACACGGAGTCTTTGTCTGCATTCAACCAGGTGTTCCCAAGTGCTCACCTGCAGTGTGGTGGCGAAAATTAATAAACTTTTCATCCTAAGAATTAAACATGGTTCTTAGAGATACTTTAAACATCCCCTGGGCCTTCTTTGCTCCTCTCCGCAGTATTGGCCTCTGGTCTAGGGGCTCCGGAAGGTACAGGTCACCTTGCACACCCTCCCTAGGACAGGGGAGAGTCATTGCAGCCTGTGCATTGGCCCCTGCTTGCTGCCTACCTGGCAGCCCCTGCGGCTCCTGGGAACCAGAACAAGCCTGGAGGTCCCCATGTGTGCCTTGAGCTCTCACTGTCACCCCGTTTGGGGCTTCAGACCCCTCTGAGGCCTGGCTAGGACTCTTTAAACCCTAACCTTTCAGGGTTTCCAGATAAAATACAGGACACCATTAAATTTCGATTCCAGGTAAGTAGCAAGTGGAATTATGGGAGATGCTTGTATTAAAAAATTATTTCTCATTTATCTGAAATTCAGAATGAACTGGGATCCTTTATTTGCTAAAGCAATCTGATAGCCTTAACCTGTGAATCTGCATTGCACCCTTGCTGTAGTGCCACCCTGACCCGCTATGAGTCCCCTCTGACCTCTCCTGGAGGACTCTCAGCTGTCCTGTGCTTGTCCACACCAGCGCAGGAGACCAGGCTGGCTCTGGAAAGCTGTGCCTGGCCACCTCCCTTGCCTGACCATACTGTGCCAGCAGCATGGTGTTGCCGCGAGGCCCCGCATCACCTGTACTGGCTAACTCACCTGCCCCGGCTGGCCCTGCCTGGAAGATCTGGGCTCACAGCTGCCTGCTCTGCCTTCCCCCAGCCTCCTCCTTAAGGCTTCCCCTAATGTCCTGGGGCCAGAAGCTAGAACCAGATGAGTACCCAGCTCCACCAGCTTGGTTGTTGAGAGACTGAAGGGTGTGGTGGGAACTAACTGTTCCCAACATCCTTTTCTCTCCTTGTACTTTAGGAAGAGAAGCCCCATGTTTTAGCTGGCTATGGCTGCCCTGATGAAGATAACGTCCCCAGCAGCCCCTACTGCTCAGAGGGGCCGAGCAAGCAAGCTCTGGCTTGCCAGACAAGGATGGAAGTGACGGGTACAATTCTGACTGCACCTGCAAAACAGAGGGGAGCGCCCTCTACTTTTTCTTCCCTGCTTCCTACTGGCTGCAGGTGGGTGTGTGGCTGGGATGCAGGGAACTGCATCTGAGACTATACGATGGAAGCCATGTGTGGAGAGCACAGAGCAACAAGAAAGAAAGGGCCTGCGTCCCCAAGAGCAGCGACCACAGCGTTGCCCTGGACTTGTGTCTGGATGCTGACATAAGGATAAACAGATGTCTGACTTAAGCCAATACTATTTTGGTATTAGGAGCTGAATCTACCTACAGCAGGGGGAATACAGGAATTTAGAAAAACCTCTTAGAACAATTGCAAGGTTTCCTCCCCCCCTCTCTCCCTCCTTCCCTTCCTTCCTTTTTTCCAAAAACTTATTACCCTATTCTTCCTCAGTGCATTCCTTCTGCAGTAAATCCCACTTTCCCTTCGTTCATACAATGTCTCAGGCCAGCTGGGCGCAAACGAGCCTCACATCAAAGCCTTGAACCATCACTCCATCTCATAGAGGTCTCCTAGGTGCTTGGCAAAGGCTTAATGAATGAAAGACACGGATGCAGCCTCTGGCCCAAGCCACCCAACAGCTTTTACACCCACTGAAGGCTGCGCCAGGCGCCTGCTCCAATACCCTGCACGGTGACCTGCCCCTCCTGGCACATTGCCTGCCTGTGCACTGCCACGAACACACACTCACTCTGTAGCAAAATGGCCTACCTGGGATGCCCGCCCTTACCAGGGTCCCGTATTATTATTGTTATATTATTGCAGCACAAACATTACATTCATTTTCTCCTTTTAAAAATTTAAAGCAATGCAGATAAAATGAATGCTCCCTTTAATCCACCTTCGTCTTGGTTTCCCTGCCTCCCCCTGTCCTCCAGATATCCCACCAGTTCTCAGTTTGGCCTCTCTCCTTCCCGATGTTCTAAAATACTTCTCTGCACCTGTGTGTTCCTGGAACTATGTAACATCGTTGGTTTTATGATGATAGCATCATGGTGGACTGATTTTTCTGCCTTGTTTTTTCACCCAGTAATATTTTTGACACTGAGTCATATGGATTTCTAATGGTTCTCATTTGTTCATTTTTATTCTGATTTAACACACTATCATTTTAACGTGTCACCGTGTTTTCTCTTTTTCAGATCAACACAAAGGAGTCGAGTTGCTAATAGTTATCTTATGAATAGTTTTCAGTTTTAAGTCACTAACAAACTGCCATCTCAAGGGGCGCTCCGGCTGGCGTTCCCCCCCCAGCACCCGGTGAGTACAGGGAGACACTCCCACAACATCTTATAGATACAAGGAACTTCAGGATTTTTTGCTGACTCGTGGGTGCATGTAGGTGTCTCACTGCTGTTTTAACTTGAGTTGCAAACTTCCAGTGTTGGTCGGCCGCTTGGAAATGGGTTCTGTCTTCCATGACAGTCCTGTTGGGACTTTCCCCATTCCTTCTGGGTGGTCTTCTCTAACCCATATGTAGGCGTCTGTCATGTATTGTGGCTGCTACTATTTTACCCCTTACATACAGAAATGGAGCAAATTCGTGTGCTGCTTACCTTTGAACTGGTATCTTGTGGTACGGGTGGTTTTTTTTGATATGGTCCCTTTTATAAACATTGTCCTTTATGGCTTGGCTGTTTCCTCCTGTTCAGGAGGGCTGCCCTGACTTTAAGGCCACAGAAACGTTATTCTGCATTTTTAGCTAATAACTGTCAAGTTTAGTTGTCTTTGTTTTGTTTATTTGTTTTGCTTTTTTACATATATGACTTTCAGATGCCTTTTGAGGGTAGTTGTTCAGTATTGCATCTTCCTTCTTGGTCATTATCTATTCAGATTTTTCTCTTTCTTCCTAGGCCAGTTTTGCTAATAAATGTTTTCTTAGAAAAGTGTCCATTTCACCCAGGTTTTCAAATGTGAGGTATTAAATTGTTTCTGACCATATTTTTTCATCTCTTGGTTATGACCCCTCTTTAATTCCAATTTTATTTGTCTGTGTATTCTTTTTTCTTGGTGCTTTTTGCTGAAGGACTATTTTATTTGTCCTCTCAAAACACAAGCATTTTGTTTTGTTCTGTTTTCTGTTTGTTTTCTGTGTCCTTGATCTCTGTTTTTATTTTCTTTCCCCTTATTTTCTTTGGATTTATTTTGTTGCTCTTTTCTGCTTTCAAAGTGGACAATTTGGTTCACCTATTTTTAAATCTCTCTCATTTCGTATGAATGCAGTTGAGAGGATGCCCTGGCCTCTGGGAATGGCTTGCCCTGTATCCGCGGGCTTGGGCCTCCACCACTCCCACGATGATCAAGTTCTAAATACTTTGCTGTTGTGTTAGTTCCTCCCTCCCTCATCCAAAACAGGCCTCAGTTTTGCTGCAGGAGAATTCATTGGCCTTTATTTGCTGTTATACTTAGTGTTTTTGTATATTTCTCAAAATGTATGTCCCAACCCCAAACTCATCCTCCCTTACTACCTAGAAGCTTCTTTGTTCTGCCTTCACGTTCAGATCCACGCTGAACAGGGACTAGATTTTGTTTACCAGGTGAGGGAGGAGGCCGCGTCTTATTTCTCCTCAAACAGACCCCCAGCATCTGGTTTCGGAAAGACTTCCATCACCCAGTTCTCTGCAACTCCTTTCTGGAAAATCGAGTGTTCATGTATGCTTGAGTCTGTTTGGGGCTCTGTGATACTATGATTTCTAATAAGAAATGTACATTTGGTCTCCATTTCTGGCACAAAGCTCCTAAAAACCTTTGGAATTTCCTAAGTGATAAGAGCCAGAGAAGTGTATTTTGTTATTTATAACGAGCCCTTCCAGCCACACAGAGTTTGTGTGAATGAGGTGACGCTTGGAAAGCCCCTAAGAATAGGGACCTGTTGCCAGGGAACTAGCCTCCATTAGAGAGCTGGGACTTTCAGGGCCACCCCCACCATCTCCGGGGAGGGAAGGGGACAGGGACGGGAGATTGAGCAAGTCACTAATCTCCAATGAATTAATCAATCATGCCTATGTAATGATTGATAAAAATCTCTGAACTACCGGGTTCGGAGAGCTTCGGGTTGGTGAACCCACCCAGGTGCTGGGAGCAGGGTGCCCGCCCAAGGGAGCGTGGAAGCTCCTCGCCCCTCTCCTCCTCCCTGCCCTGCATCTCTTCTGGCCGTTTCTGAAATATGGCCTTTGATGATTATAAATCTTGTGTGCAGCCAGCCCTGCCTTGGTGTCTGCTTCTCGGAGGGCAAGAACCAACATACCATCCATAGATTTAGATTTTATGTTTCTCTTAATAGTATTTTATAGTTCTCCACGGAGAGGTCCTACACATCTACTGTTAGATTTACTCCCAGGTAAATGGCACTTTGTATGCGGCATCTCTGATGGATCAGGTATGACTGCCCATTATTTTCACCTCCTCCCAACAAAAGATGGCCTCTGCTCCCGGCCCTTCTCTGGCTGACCAGGGGAATATGGCCCGGGTAGCTGTGAGGCACTGCTGAGCCTAGGCCCTGGGAGGTCTTGCAGCCTCTGCTCTTACCCTCTCAGCCCCCGTGCTGAGAACGCTGAGCAGCAAAGACGCTGGGATGGAAGACAAGGTGGGGAGAGAAGCCCAGACAATTCCAGGCATTTCAGCAGACGCCCCAGGCACGTGACTGAGGCCACCTTAGGCCACCCCAGCCCCAGCCCAGCTGCCAGCCGGATGAGGGCACCCTACCAAGGCCGGCAGAGAGCCACCTGGGCAACCTACAGAATCACGAAAAAGTCACGAAAAAGTAATGAATTGGGATTTTTTTTTTAAGATACTGAGTTTGCCAGTGGTTTGCTATGCAATTAATAACTAATCCAGTATGTGTTTTTAAATTTCATTTTCCATTTGTTGCCGGTACAGTGATGTTCCAATATTGACCTTGCATCCATCAACTAGGGATACTAATCATCCGTTTGTAGGTCCTTTTGGATTTTCTGTGTAGCGTATCAACTGTGAATAATGGCTGTTTTATTTCTTCCTTATAGCTTTTATTTAGTTTTCTTTCCCTACTGCACTGGCTCTGACCTCCAAATCAATGCTGAATAAAAGCATCAAGAGGAGAATTCTTGAGTTCTTGCCTTGCTCCCGTCTCCAAAAAAAAAAAGCTTTCAACGCTTTACTGTTAAGTATGATATTTTTTGTAGATACTTTTGCAGATGTGTTTTATGAAACAAAGGAAATCCTCTTTTATACCAAGCTTACTTACCAAGAGTTGTAATCTTGGGGATGATGAATTTCATCAAACATTTTCTCTGTATCTTGAGATGATGATATGACTTTTATTCTTCATTCTGTTGATTTTTACAATGTTATCCAGGACTGTCGTCCCAGAATACACCCAATCTGTGATGTATTCTCTTTCCTATTGTAGTTCCTATTGCTGGCATTGGTTTGTTAATGTGGTGTTTAGGATTTTTTTTCCTATGTTTGTGAGTGAGGTTGGCCTCCAATTTTCATTTCTTGCAATTTTCTCATAGGGTTTTGGAATCAAGATTATGATCACTTCACAAAACAAGCTGGAAAATAATCCCTTTTTCTCTTTCCTGAAAGAGTTTGTGCAAGATTAGGGTTGTTAGCTCATAAATATTTGGTAAAGGTTACTCGTAAAACAACCTGAGCGGAGTAGTATATTTTCTGGAAAACTTTTTAGCTTTTTAGTTACAGATTCTATTTGATACTTTTAGGACTGTTCAGATCTTCCCTTTCCTCCGGTATTAACTGGAAATTGTGTTTTGGAACAAAGACATGTATGTTTAATTTTTCAAATGTATTATCTAAACTTATTTCTAATATTCTCTTGTTTTCCAAGCATCTATAGAGATGTTTATTTTCTTTTCCTATTTCATTAGTTTTTCCTTTTATTGTTGTTGCTCCTTTTCATTTACTTTGTTTGGGTTTAATTTGTTGCTCTTTTTCATAACCTTGAGGTCATTGCTTGTTCACTGATTTCCATCCTTTCTTCTTTTCTAATGTTGCAGTAAAAGCTACTGTATATTACGCAAGGCTTTATAGTAAGTCCCACAAGTTTTGATAGATGTTTTTTTTATTTTAATGAACTTCAAAATGGCTTTTAATTTTCTTATGATTTATTTTTAATCCACGGGTTATTTAGAAGCATATTTTTTGACTTCAAACATATGGAGATACCTTTTGTTATTGACTTTTAGCATAATTGAATTGTACTCAAAGAGAATATACTCTATGTGATTCAATCCTTTGAAAGCAAGACTCGCTTTATGGTTAAAACATGGTCAGTTTTCTAAAAGTAGCCCATGCTCACCTGAAAAGACTGTGTTCTGCAGTTGGTATTCCCTGTACAACCATTAAGGTAAATTTTCTGATCATATGGTTCAAAACCCTCTATGCATTTATGACTTTTTTAAAATGTGGTTATTCTATCAGTTACTGAGAAAGGTGTCTTAAAATTTCCCACTATGATTTCACGTTTGCTTATTTCTCCTTATTAGCTTTTCTGCAATTTGAGGCTGTGTTATTAGGCACATGTAGACTTTACATTTATCTTCTATCTTCCTGGTGAATTGACCACGTAATCATCGTGAAACGACTTAGTATTGCTTTCTGTATTCATGTGTCCTTTGTTTGGTATTGTAGTTATAACAGCTTTCTTTTAGTTAATATTTGCAAGGTAACTATCTCTTTCCATTGTTTTACTTTCAATCTTTCTATATTCTGATGTTTTAGATATTCTCTTGTAAATGGTACATAGTTGGATTTTTTAATCCTGTATAATCATGCTTGTTTGCCTTTTAATTGGAGCAACTAGCACTTACATTAATATATTGACAAATATACTTGGTTTTAACCTATCCTTTTACTAAGTAATCTATCATTACTAAAGCTTTATAGGTTTCCTCTCTTGCCTATATTCCTGTTTGTCTCCTTTCTTGCCTTTTTTAGACAGACTGAATGGTTTTTATTATTTCATCCCCTACCCCATTAGCTTGGATTTAATATACCCCTGTTCTATTATTTAATGGCTACTTGGGAGATTACAACATATATCCTTCATTTATCAAAGTTGAATTTTATTTGGTACTTTTATTTATTTCTAAGACAGTGTGTGGATTATAGAACTCTTAAACTCCATATATACCTATATCCTTTATTTTTGTAAAATGAAGCACTCTAAATCTAATGGTGTAAAACAGCAATCTTTTAATCATAATCACAGACTCTGTGGGTTGGGAACTTGGAAAGGGCACCAAGGCGACCTCTTGTCTGTGTTGCATGATGTCTGGGGCCTCAGCTGGAAAGAGCCAGAGAGGCTAGGGCTGACTCACTGACTGAGGCTGCCATCACCTGAATGTCTGTACACTCACCTGTCGTTGATGTCTGGTGCTGATGCTGGGACCCAAGCTGGGGGGTCAGCTGGCCACCTGCATGGTTGCCTGGGCTTCCTCACAGCATGGTGGCTGATTCCAGGAGTCAGAACAAGGTTAAAGCTGTATTGCCCCTCATGACCCAGCCTTGGAAGTCAGATGCTATCTGCTGACGTGACAGGCCCACACAGATTCAAGGGGAGGGCACGTGGACACCCACCTCAGCGGAACTAGTGTCACAGTCACATTAGAAGATGACCACGTGGGTTTAGAGACATTGTTGTGGCCATCTTCGGAAAATACCATCAGCGACAGTCCTCCTCCAAGCTTATATCCATAGTTGTGAATATTTTTAGTATGTATATTTTAAACTCCAGAAGATATTATTTATCCTTAATGGCCTTATTAAGACACAATTCAAATACACTATCATTCACTCATTTGAAGTGCTCAATTCAGTGATCTTTAGTGTATTCCCAGAGTTATACACCTACCACCTCTGTCAATCTTAGAACATTTTGTCACTCCAAAGAGTCTCTCAGGACATTGACTCCAAAGAGAAGCCCATCAGCAGTCACTCCCCAGTACCCCAAACCCCCAGCCCCTGGCAACCACGGATCTACCTCCTTCTCTGTGGATTTGCCTCCTCTGGACATTTCACATCAATGGAATCTTACAATACGTGGGTCTTTTGTGACTGGCTTCTTTCACGTGCCATAATGTTTTTGAGGTTCATCTGTGTTGTAACATCTATCAGTGCTCCATTGTTTTTATTTCCAGATAATATTCTATTGTATGAATATGCCACATTTCATTCATTTACCCATCAGTGGACATTTATGTACAAGTGTTCGTATGGTCCCATGTTTTTATTTCTCTCACAAACATACTTAAAACTGAGCTTGCTGACTCACATGGTAACTCTTTATGTTTAACATTTTGAGAAACTCCACAAACTGTTTTCCAAAACATTTTTTTTTTAATGCAGGCAATGTTCATTTGGAGTTACCACCAAATTCTGCCACCCCCTTTTTTTTCCTCCTTATTTTTTCCTACATCTCTTAACTTCCCTCTGGGATCATTTTCATTCAGTGCAGATTTTTCAGTGACAAATTCTCCCAATTTTTGTTGAAAATTTTGCTTGAAAATTGTATTTGTATTTTCATTGGAATAAAACTTCAGATTGCCAGTTGTTATTTTTCCAGCCCTTTAAATGTATCATTCTGCTATCTTTGGGCCTTCACTCCTGCTGAGAGGTCATTTGTCAGGTTCCTTTGAAAGAAAAAAATTCCCCTCCTTCTGTTTTTAAGGTTTTCTCTTTGTCTTTGGTTTTTGATGGTCTTACCACCATGTGCCATGCTGGGTGTGAACTTGTTTTTATTTATTCTGCTTGGGATTTGCTGAGTTTCTTCAACCTGTGCCTTAGTGACTTTCATCAATTTGGTGAAAATCTCAGCTGTTTTATTTTCAAATATCGTCTCTGTTGCATTCTCTCTCGTTTCACCTTCTGGGACTCTGAGTGCACATATGTTGGGCTTTCTATTGTCCCCTCTGTGCAGATATATCCTCTCTATGCTGTTTTCCATACTTTTCTCTCTCCATGCTTCTTTCTGGATATTTTCTTCTGATCTATTTTTTAATTCCCTGATTTTTCGCTTAAGCTCTGAATAATATGCTGGTATGCTCATCCACTGAGTTCTTCATTTCACGTCTAGAGTTCCCATTTGGCCCTTTACCCCTAGTTTCAAGTACTCTGCCACAATCTGCAATCTTGTTTTCCATCTCCTCAAACATAGCAAGTATGGTTGTTTTAATTTTTGATTCTGGTAGCACTACTGTGAGCAATCTTTCCCCAACATGGTAAGCATCTAATCCAGTACTTACTGGATAATTTTTGTAAGTAGGTTTTCAGACCGAATGCACAGCCAACTTAGTGGCTATCTCAATTGAACGGTTGGAACATTTTCTCACTTTAGGCAGGGAATTTTCCAAATTATCTGGAGGATACGGACTTCTAATCCTATTTCTGAAAACCTCTAAAGTGGAAATTTCTTGTCCTCATCTGGCCATCTGCATAATGAGAAATGCGCTCTGTTCCTTTCTGCCCCAGGAGGAGCTGGTTACCAGGACCAGCTGAGGTAGGGGCATTTGAGGTCACTACGCCACTCCAACCCTGCTCCAACCCTGTAGGGACTTCAGAGAGAAAGGAATGGTGCTCAATAAACCATTCCTTCTGGAATGTTCCCTTGGCACCTGAGTCAGCCTCCTGAAACTGAGTGATCTCATCCATCAGTTGATTCCAAAATGCCTGTTCAGTAATGCCCTCGGAAAAACTAACCCTGACACTCCCATCTCACCTCACTGGACCCTGGGCCCCCACCCTAATTCAAGCCCAGAATAATGAAACTGGCTCTGAAGGTTACACCTCTGGAGCTCCAGGACTTCCCAGTCCTGATCAGAGAAGTCCAAGGGATTGGTGCATGCGTGTGTGTGTGTATGTGTGTGTGTGTGTGTCTGTGTGTCTGTGTTGGCTGGTTGTTTTTTTGAGAGACAATTTACATAGCACACCATTCACGCATTTAAGGTGTGAAATTCAGTGGTTTTTAGTGTATTCGCAGTTTTGCAATCACTCCTGCAATCAATTTTAGAACATTTTTATCACCCCAAAAAGAAGCCCCAAGCCCATTAGTAGTCTCTCCTCATTTCTCCCATTGCCCCGAAGCCCCTGGAAAATTCTAAGCTACTTTCTGACTTTACAGATTTGCCTATTCCAGGCATTTCACATAAACAGAATTATACAATATATGGTCTTTTGTGACTGGCTTCTTTCACCCAGCATAATATTTTTGAGGTTTATCCATGTTGTAGCCTGTGTCAGCACTTCATTCCTTTTTACTGCCAGAGGGCGTTCCGTTGTGTAGATAGACCACATTTTTATTATCCGTTCATCAGCTGATAGGCATTTGGGTCACTCCCACTTTTTTGTTTATTGTGAATAATGCTGCTATGAACATCCATCTACAAGTTTTTGTGTAGACATGTTTTCATTCCGTTTGGGTATATACCTAGAAGTTGAATTGCTGGGTCATCTGTAGCTCTGTTTAACATTTTGAGAAAGTAGCAGACGATTTGCAAAGCAGCTACACCATTTTGCATTCCTGCCAGCAGTGTATAAAGGCTCCCGTTGCCCTACATCCTTGCCAACGCCTGTCATTTTGATTGCAGCCATCCTACTGGGTGTGAAGTTTTATCTCATTGTTTTGTGTTTCCCTGGTGGCTAATGATGTTGAGCATCTTTTCATGTGCTTATTGGCCATTTGTATGTCTTCTTTGGAGAAATGTTTATTAAGATCCTTTACCCATTTTTAGTTGGATTATGTGTCTTTTTATTATTGAGCTGTAAGAGTTCTTTATATATTCTAGACCCAAGTTCCTTATCAGATATATGACTTCCAAATAATTTCCTCCCATTCTGTGTCATCTTTTCACTTCCTTAATAATGTCCTATGAAGCACAGGATTTTAAATTTCGGTGATGTCCCATTCATTTACTTTGGTGCTTTTACTTTGGGTGTTGTATGTAGGAAACTACTTACTTGTGCTTTTGGTGTCATATCTAAGAAACTATTGCCTAATACAAGGTAATTATGATCTACACCTAGGCTTTTTTCTAAGAATTGTGTGGTGGTTTTAGCTCTTATATTTAGGTCTTTGATCCATCTTGGGTTAATTTTTGCATATGGTGTGAGGTAGGGGTTCAACTGCTCTTTTGCAGGTGAAGGCATCTTATTTTATTATTTTCTGGAACCTTCTATTTTTTCATGATCTGGGCAAGAAGGTCTCATTTTATTCCAATTATGATGGCCCAATAAAACCAGCTTGCCATCATACCATTGTGTTCCCATAACAAGCCCTGCAGAAAATCATCCTTGAACAAACACACCCGCACACTATAACCCTCTTCACTGCTCCCACCCCTGGCTGCGTAGACTCCTAAAAATCCTAAATAAGTCATTTTCTTTGGCTGGGTTATCAACCACTTCTAAGTCCTTTTGCTAAAACACTAATACTAGTATTGTAACTGAGTTTATCAGGTTTTTTCCAGGAATGGCTAGCCAGTTCCCTACTAGCTGGGATCAGGACACTGGGAAGGAGACTATGCAAAGTAAATTACCTGTTTGGGTGAGGGCAGGGGCGGTCAGATGGAGCAAACAACTAGGTGTCAAGCTTGCAATTGAGCAGGTTGGCATCTATGTCACACTGCAGATAACATCCTGGAAAAACGGTCTGGAAGGCAAGTACCAATCTTATTTGTCATTATGCCCCCAGTGCCTAGCACATGGGCGACCGACCACAAAGCAGTAGCAAAGTGAATATTTGGAAAATGAATGAGCAAAGAAGGAATGTTAGCAGGAAGGAAGTAAAAGACTAGGCACGGGAGGGACTGGGTATGGCAGCGCTCAAAGAGTGAGGGGCATCAAAGGGGGCACTGGGTGGGCTCTGAAGTAAACAATGCCTCTTCTGCCATGTTGGCTTGGCCAGTAGTGGGTACCCGATAAAGCTGGCTCATTCTTCCCATGCACCCTGGGGAAATATCCTCAGCCCCTGCTCGCAGCTTCATGGAAGGCCCACCCTCTGCTGAGTGGCCTCAGCTCTGTGGTGGCTGAAGGCCTGCTCTTCGTGCCCCAGAGAGCAAGATTTCAGCACTTGCCTCCTCCCCAGGCCCAGCACAGCTGCACAGGCTCACCCCAGAAGCAGGCAAAGGGCACCATCTGTTTGCCAGCTGCTGGCACCAGAGGGTGCAGGGCAGCTTCTGCACTGCCTGCTGGCAGCCGGATAAGGGCCCTGGACGCTCACCCACTTGGCAGGCAATGGAGAGAAGAGGAAACAGCTGCTCTTCACAGCTCAGGACAAAAGGGGACCATTGGCAGGTGTCCTCATGCTCCCAGGTTGCTGTAGTGGGTTGAAATGTGTCCCCCCCAACCCAAAACATGGCGTGTCCAAGTCCTAACCCTCGATACCTCATTTGGAAATAAGGTCTTTGCTTTTTTAGTTAAGGAAGGATGTTGAGGGGAGATCATTCTGGATTTAGGGTGGACCTTAACTCTGATGACTGGTGTCCTTAAGAGAAAAGGGAGAGGGAGATCTAAGGGACACAGGAAAGAAGGCCATGTGACATGAAGATAAGCAGAGATTAGAGGGCACAGACCATGGAGCACCTGGGGCCACCAGAACCCGGAAGAAGCCATGAAGGGTCTTCCCTACAGGCTTGGGCAGAGAGGCCCTGCCCCCGCCTTGCTTTCAGATCTGAAGCCTCCAGAGCTGTGAGAGAATGAGTTTCTGTTGTTTGAAGCATCACGCCTGTGGTAGTTGGTTCCAGCAGCCCCCCAAAATAAATGCAGTCGTCCGAGCCCTGCCTCCTCCCTGCCACTCACAGACTCCTCCAAGCACAGGGTGTCCAACAGGGCTGCGTCTGGCCGAGCCCATGACGTGCATCCCAGCAAGGCAGTTCAGGGCCCAGCATGCGCCCCTTGGGTACAGCGCTCCCAGGCACCAAGCTGCGGGCTCCCAGGCCTTCAACAGGCAGTAGGAGGGGGTTGGGGGTGGGGGCAGTGGAAAAGAGAAGGATTCAGTTCAGTCACCAAACTGACAAGGCCTTCATGCTGAAACACACAATTCCAAGTTTAATGTTTTCTCAAAGAGCATTGGGACAGCACAGAATAGGAGGCGGGCACCCTGCCCACCAGCACGCCTACAGAAACAGTTTTTAAAGTCTGACCAGCAGAGGGCCTTCAGAGGGAGGGATGTGTGGACCCTAGACCCCATGGCCAGTCCAGGGAGGACGGAGGGATCAGTTAAGACCAAGAGTCACCAGGCAGTGGAAAGGAGGCTCCCGAGGGGCCTGCAGGGTCCCTATAAGTGATAGGAGAGTGACCCCAGCCCTGAGCATTGATGTAGAGGGGTGGGGAAGGGCTGCCAGGCCAAAGTCAGCCACAGGCCAGAGCACCAATTCCAGGCGGCAACCCCCTCTGGGCGTTCCCACAGCCCGTCTTGGCGAGGGGGTTCTGCCCCCAGAGGTCAGGACATGACTCCCTCCTAGTTTCAGGGACTGAGCCCCACAGGAGCTCCAGAGAGAGGCAGAAGGGGAGACCTCCAGCCCCTCCCAGCTCTCCCCTGCTCTGGGGCCCAGGGGAGGATGCTGGGCGGGGGTGGGAGGGTGGGAAGGGGTGGCCCTGAATGCCAAACCCTTTGGGAAATGGGATTCTAAGGAGCTTTTATAGAGAACATTATATAACCATGATGGCTGCCACCAAATCAAAGGCCCCAGTGCCCTGCGTGCTCACGTGTCTGAGAGGGAGAGGAAAAGCTAGTGCTGGGTGACAGGCGTGGAGGCCCGGCCCAGCGCCCAGGGTGGCGGGCGTGGGGAGCTGCCACGCCAGGACGTACGGCTTTGCCTTGGCCGCACTGAGCTGGCTCCTCACCAAAGCTTCTGCAGGGCCGCGGGCCCCCGAGGTGCCCAGCGCCTGTCAGGAGCCTGTGGGTTCTAGCAAGCAGGCATCTTCTCCCAGCCCAGGGCCAAGGCCAGGGACGTGGCTATCCCTTTGAGGAGCTGACGTTGGCTTCCTTAGACCAAACCCCCTCACTACTGCAGATCAGCTGAAGCCCTGGGCCAGGCCACAGGGATGTCCACAGCACGTGGACGTCAGTCCAGCTGTCCCCCAAGAAGTTTCACACGTGACCTAAAAGAATGAAGGCAGACGGGGATTCCCAGGCCCCCACCCGGCCCCCCAACCCCCGTCGCCCCATGCACCCACTTCACATCTTCTCTTGGAGAAATCTTATGCAACCTCAAGTGAAGGGAGCCCTCCATCAGGAGCCAGTGCAGCCGACGGAGAGGCAAAAATAATAACGCCTTTCCTTCCCCACACGGTTCGCTTTCCTCCTTTCACATCCTTTAGAATTTGCCTAATTGTTTCCAGCCATGGGAGCAAGTTTACTCTGGCCGCCCTGCAGCATGGTGGTGCGCTGTGTAGGGTCACTTGAGGCTATGCACACAGAGGATGCTGGGGTCCCCAGCCGTCCTCAAAGCCCCCCCCCCCAACCCCATGGTGAGGCCTGGAACCACACAGCCACTGTCGCGTCCTGCTCCCGTGAAGGGTGTTGTGTTGGATGCCAAAGCTGGAGAAGTGAGGACCGGGGAGACCAGGACCGGGGAGGGGCTGACAGGTCAGCCTGGTGCTGGCCCCTGGGGGTCCTGCGGCGGGTGGCGAACAGGCCAGCCTCCGGCAGTGCAGCAGGAGGCCAGCCGGCACTAAGGCTCGGTGGCGTGCTTGACCAGGTAGCCGCTGAAGGTGATGTAGGTGTCAAACTCATCGCTGAAGATGGCATTCTCCCGCTCGCCCTTGAAGAGGCGCACCCACACCTCGTCCTGGCCGCGCAGCTCCAGCATCAGGCTCTGGCTCTGCATGATGCTGCGGTCGCTCGCCTGCGCATACAGGATCACCGCCTCCTCCCCGTTCTTCATGATGTGCAGGTACGTCTCCTTCTGGTTCCAGGTGTGCACGTTGAGGCTGAAGAAGTAGATGCCGGGCACATAGCAGTAGAACCGGCCGGTGAACATGTTAAAGTGGCCATACAGGTTCACAAACTCCGTGTCAAAGATCACCGTCTGGTAGTAGTCGTTGCTGTGCAGGGGCTTCTTCCTGCCCACCGAGAAGGCCGCGTAGTGGTTCTTGCACCGGTCCCCGGGGGTCCCCATGGAGCCTTTCTGCCCCTTGGGCCCTGCATGGCCCCTGGCGCCCATGGAGCCTGTTTTGCCATATTTCCCTTGCAGGCCTCGGTCCCCTCGATCACCCTTCTCACCTGAAAGGGACAGGAAATCACGTGGCATCAAGCTGCAGCCCAACCTCATGGACTATTCTATTTTCATCTAGAGGCAATAATTTCCCCCCTCTGGAAAGTCCCAGCAAAGCATAGGGAACATGTGGGTTTGTCCAAAAGCAACAGGCGCTGTGGCCGGGCCCATGGCTGTTGGAGCAAATGAACTGCAGATGTCAGGCTGGCTGGGGCTTCCCGGTCAGATTGCAGGCTGTGCGAAGTTATCTGCTGCACAGGCCTGAGGCTTGCGGAAGGTATTTCAGAAAGCTGGCTGGGTGTGTGGACCCCAGAGGCTGGACCCCAGAGGCTTGCAGGGGGGATGCTGGGGGGAGGAGACCCCAAGCTGCCCTTGGGCTCCTCATGTGCTCTGGGTCCTGCCAGCCCTTTCCGATCTCTCCTCTTGGAAAGCCGCCAGAGCCTCAAATGGAATTCCCCTTCCCCCACCTCTAGATGACAGGCTGTCTCTGTGGGGAGCCCCGAGGGAGCCGTTCTGCTCCCCCCTCCTCCGCCCTGCTGACTCTGTCCTCACCCCGCATCAGGACAGAGCAGCCCCCACCCTGGGAAGGTCCTGTTTGCTCATCTCTGCAACAGCCGACCTTTCAGGATGGTGATGTTGATCTGCGGTGTGGGGACTGCCTGGTACACGGGGGTCTCGGGGTCACAGCAGCGAAAGCACCGGGAAGCAGGGGGCTCCTCGTCCTGCCTGGGGCTGTACTTTTCATGTCTCTCTTCAGCCCTAGGGGAACAGAGACACCACAGTAAAAGGCATGAGCTCTCGGAGCCAGGAACTCTTCTCTTCTGCAGCCAGAGGGTCTGGTCTCCCCTACCTGCCTCCTCTGTCACCTGGATGTGCAAGGCTGTGTGTTAACTCTCTTTCAATGCTCTTGGCGAATTCTGGGACCCTAAATGAAATTTCAGAAGGAGCCTCCTCCCCCGCTGCTAACAGCAGTAAAAGTAATGGAAACAATAACGAAAAAGCAACACTTTGATGCGAGACAGAGGCTGCTTGGGAGAAATCTGCACCTCTAGGAGGTTTTAGATGACGTGTGACAATGCTGGGACCAGTCAGCCCCTTCCTATATCCAGGGTTCTAGAAGATACTGTACTAAGCTGACTCATTTGTGAATGAGAGTGCCCGACTAGGTCCTTAGGAATCCTTTGTGCTGCAGCAGCTGGAGGCTCCACTCGAGGGACGGGCTCCTGGTGGGGGTGGACGGTGACAGCTCCATGCTGCCCCCTCTCGGCATCATGCGGCACCAGCTCCCAGGCTCTAGGGCTGTGCCAGGACCATCCTGGAGGTAGACAGTCCCTCGCCATGGGCCGGCTCCTTACCTGACTCCGCTCTGCTCTCAAACCCCATACAGTCCAGGACACGGATCTACACACCCTCAGTTCAGCCGCCCAGCGCCCCAGCTCCCAGCCGGACCCGGCCCCCATCTCTCGCCAGAAGTCTCCATCTACAGACCCAAGATGGCCCACAAATGGGATGTGCCCCACACTGACAGCCTGTCACTTCACTTGGGGCCCGCCCCTTTCCAAACCTCCCCCGAGGATCCACAGCCTCACCCTGGGGGCCTCTCCAGCCTCACCACTGTATTCCAAGGACTTCAGACCCTGAGGAGCACCCCCCCAACGCACCCCAGCTACGCACACACCGAAGTACCTCCAGAACCGGGCCCACAGCCTCCTCAGCTCTGCAGGACCAGTGCCATGGTGGCTGCCCTCTGGTCATCACCTCCATGCCTACGCACCCTGTCTTGGCCTCCCCCCAGTGTTCTTCCCAGGACTCCGTGAAGTCTAAGCTCTCCATGACTCCTTGGTAGGGTCAAGCTCAGGAGAGACCTTCCCCACCAGGCCCATCTCCCCTCCCGCCCTCCACCCTCCGGCACCAGCTCCTAATGCCCCAAGCCCACCAGCCCTCACACAGATGCCAGCGCGGGACGCCTTCGCACACACTGTCTTGGTGGCCAGTGCGGCCTTCCCCTCCTGCACCTGGGATGTTCTCCGGCATCCCTCAGACGCAGGCACACCTCTGCTTAGCCTTCTGTGGCCCCGCCCCCTTGTACACCCATACTGCACTGCGCTGGGCCATGCATGTCTGAGCCCCACAGCCTTGGGGCTCCTGGAGGCCAGGGACTGAGTCATATGTGTGTGTTCCCAGTGCCAGGCAGGTGGCTGGACCAATGGGCACCCAATCAAAGTCTGTTGAATGACAAGGAGGAGAAGGGCATTGCCATGGCCCACATCCTAGGCAAGTCCATAGACTCTAAGACAGCCTGAAGCATGGGTCTCAGCCAGCTCAAGCTTAAAGTAATGAGGACACAGCACCAGGCTGTCCCCTAGGAGTCTGGGACCTCTCATGGGATGAATGACAGCTTCATGAGTAATCCTAAGCCTTTTGTGTTTCCCCATAAAACAGGGGAGCTCCTGCATCCACACCATCCCAGCCCCTCACCTCTCAGTGTGGCCCAGTGGCGGCTCCTTGGTCCCCTCGGGCCCCTGCTGCTCCTTCTGGCCGCGAGGCTCACGGCCCAGTGCTGGGCCACAGGCGAAGGCCAGCAGCAGGCAGCATGCCAGCGCAAGTCCCAGTGCACGGGAGCCCATCTTCCCGCGGTGTCCTGCTGGGGAGGCACACAGGAGGGACGGCGTTGGAAACGGCTCCGCAGAGAAACAGCTGAGAAGCAGCCCAGGGTGCTCACCAGGCCACAGCAGTGGGCGGAGGGGCACTTCAGCCTCGGCTCCTCTGGGGTGTCACCCACACACTCTCGACACCTGCACATACTCGTTCATGTAAATTCACACACCCTCACATGCAACATGCCCACACACTCACCTGCTCTCACACAGGCACATACTGCACAATCCTAACACTTGTGCTCACGCTCACACACTCATATACTTCAGTGCATATTCACACACATGCACATGCTCTCACTCACCTGTGCACATTCAACACACTCTCAGCCTCTCTCACACACTACCATGTGCACTCTAGACTCAGACTCAAATGCTGTCAGTGCATGTGTATGCACACTCACATACTCATGTGCATACACTCCCATTCACTCACCTATGCACATGCTCAGCACCCTTCCATGTGCTCCTGTGCACACTCACATACTCTCACACCCATCACATGTGCATGCACACTACCCCCCCCCCAACCCCATGGTGAGGCCTGGAACCACACAGCCACTGTCGCGTCCTGCTCCCGTGAAGGGTGTTGTGTTGGATGCCAAAGCTGGAGAAGTGAGGACCGGGGAGACCAGGACCGGGGAGGGGCTGACAGGTCAGCCTGGTGCTGGCCCCTGGGGGTCCTGCGGCGGGTGGCGAACAGGCCAGCCTCCGGCAGTGCAGCAGGAGGCCAGCCGGCACTAAGGCTCGGTGGCGTGCTTGACCAGGTAGCCGCTGAAGGTGATGTAGGTGTCAAACTCATCGCTGAAGATGGCATTCTCCCGCTCGCCCTTGAAGAGGCGCACCCACACCTCGTCCTGGCCGCGCAGCTCCAGCATCAGGCTCTGGCTCTGCATGATGCTGCGGTCGCTCGCCTGCGCATACAGGATCACCGCCTCCTCCCCGTTCTTCATGATGTGCAGGTACGTCTCCTTCTGGTTCCAGGTGTGCACGTTGAGGCTGAAGAAGTAGATGCCGGGCACATAGCAGTAGAACCGGCCGGTGAACATGTTAAAGTGGCCATACAGGTTCACAAACTCCGTGTCAAAGATCACCGTCTGGTAGTAGTCGTTGCTGTGCAGGGGCTTCTTCCTGCCCACCGAGAAGGCCGCGTAGTGGTTCTTGCACCGGTCCCCGGGGGTCCCCATGGAGCCTTTCTGCCCCTTGGGCCCTGCATGGCCCCTGGCGCCCATGGAGCCTGTTTTGCCATATTTCCCTTGCAGGCCTCGGTCCCCTCGATCACCCTTCTCACCTGAAAGGGACAGGAAATCACGTGGCATCAAGCTGCAGCCCAACCTCATGGACTATTCTATTTTCATCTAGAGGCAATAATTTCCCCCCTCTGGAAAGTCCCAGCAAAGCATAGGGAACATGTGGGTTTGTCCAAAAGCAACAGGCGCTGTGGCCGGGCCCATGGCTGTTGGAGCAAATGAACTGCAGATGTCAGGCTGGCTGGGGCTTCCCGGTCAGATTGCAGGCTGTGCGAAGTTATCTGCTGCACAGGCCTGAGGCTTGCGGAAGGTATTTCAGAAAGCTGGCTGGGTGTGTGGACCCCAGAGGCTGGACCCCAGAGGCTTGCAGGGGGGATGCTGGGGGGAGGAGACCCCAAGCTGCCCTTGGGCTCCTCATGTGCTCTGGGTCCTGCCAGCCCTTTCCGATCTCTCCTCTTGGAAAGCCGCCAGAGCCTCAAATGGAATTCCCCTTCCCCCACCTCTAGATGACAGGCTGTCTCTGTGGGGAGCCCCGAGGGAGCCGTTCTGCTCCCCCCTCCTCCGCCCTGCTGACTCTGTCCTCACCCCGCATCAGGACAGAGCAGCCCCCACCCTGGGAAGGTCCTGTTTGCTCATCTCTGCAACAGCCGACCTTTCAGGATGGTGATGTTGATCTGCGGTGTGGGGACTGCCTGGTACACGGGGGTCTCGGGGTCACAGCAGCGAAAGCACCGGGAAGCAGGGGGCTCCTCGTCCTGCCTGGGGCTGTACTTTTCATGTCTCTCTTCAGCCCTAGGGGAACAGAGACACCACAGTAAAAGGCATGAGCTCTCGGAGCCAGGAACTCTTCTCTTCTGCAGCCAGAGGGTCTGGTCTCCCCTACCTGCCTCCTCTGTCACCTGGATGTGCAAGGCTGTGTGTTAACTCTCTTTCAATGCTCTTGGCGAATTCTGGGACCCTAAATGAAATTTCAGAAGGAGCCTCCTCCCCCGCTGCTAACAGCAGTAAAAGTAATGGAAACAATAACGAAAAAGCAACACTTTGATGCGAGACAGAGGCTGCTTGGGAGAAATCTGCACCTCTAGGAGGTTTTAGATGACGTGTGACAATGCTGGGACCAGTCAGCCCCTTCCTATATCCAGGGTTCTAGAAGATACTGTACTAAGCTGACTCATTTGTGAATGAGAGTGCCCGACTAGGTCCTTAGGAATCCTTTGTGCTGCAGCAGCTGGAGGCTCCACTCGAGGGACGGGCTCCTGGTGGGGGTGGACGGTGACAGCTCCATGCTGCCCCCTCTCGGCATCATGCGGCACCAGCTCCCAGGCTCTAGGGCTGTGCCAGGACCATCCTGGAGGTAGACAGTCCCTCGCCATGGGCCGGCTCCTTACCTGACTCCGCTCTGCTCTCAAACCCCATACAGTCCAGGACACGGATCTACACACCCTCAGTTCAGCCGCCCAGCGCCCCAGCTCCCAGCCGGACCCGGCCCCCATCTCTCGCCAGAAGTCTCCATCTACAGACCCAAGATGGCCCACAAATGGGATGTGCCCCACACTGACAGCCTGTCACTTCACTTGGGGCCCGCCCCTTTCCAAACCTCCCCCGAGGATCCACAGCCTCACCCTGGGGGCCTCTCCAGCCTCACCACTGTATTCCAAGGACTTCAGACCCTGAGGAGCACCCCCCCAACGCACCCCAGCTACGCACACACCGAAGTACCTCCAGAACCGGGCCCACAGCCTCCTCAGCTCTGCAGGACCAGTGCCATGGTGGCTGCCCTCTGGTCATCACCTCCATGCCTACGCACCCTGTCTTGGCCTCCCCCCAGTGTTCTTCCCAGGACTCCGTGAAGTCTAAGCTCTCCATGACTCCTTGGTAGGGTCAAGCTCAGGAGAGACCTTCCCCACCAGGCCCATCTCCCCTCCCGCCCTCCACCCTCCGGCACCAGCTCCTAATGCCCCAAGCCCACCAGCCCTCACACAGATGCCAGCGCGGGACGCCTTCGCACACACTGTCTTGGTGGCCAGTGCGGCCTTCCCCTCCTGCACCTGGGATGTTCTCCGGCATCCCTCAGACGCAGGCACACCTCTGCTTAGCCTTCTGTGGCCCCGCCCCCTTGTACACCCATACTGCACTGCGCTGGGCCATGCATGTCTGAGCCCCACAGCCTTGGGGCTCCTGGAGGCCAGGGACTGAGTCATATGTGTGTGTTCCCAGTGCCAGGCAGGTGGCTGGACCAATGGGCACCCAATCAAAGTCTGTTGAATGACAAGGAGGAGAAGGGCATTGCCATGGCCCACATCCTAGGCAAGTCCATAGACTCTAAGACAGCCTGAAGCATGGGTCTCAGCCAGCTCAAGCTTAAAGTAATGAGGACACAGCACCAGGCTGTCCCCTAGGAGTCTGGGACCTCTCATGGGATGAATGACAGCTTCATGAGTAATCCTAAGCCTTTTGTGTTTCCCCATAAAACAGGGGAGCTCCTGCATCCACACCATCCCAGCCCCTCACCTCTCAGTGTGGCCCAGTGGCGGCTCCTTGGTCCCCTCGGGCCCCTGCTGCTCCTTCTGGCCGCGAGGCTCACGGCCCAGTGCTGGGCCACAGGCGAAGGCCAGCAGCAGGCAGCATGCCAGCGCAAGTCCCAGTGCACGGGAGCCCATCTTCCCGCGGTGTCCTGCTGGGGAGGCACACAGGAGGGACGGCGTTGGAAACGGCTCCGCAGAGAAACAGCTGAGAAGCAGCCCAGGGTGCTCACCAGGCCACAGCAGTGGGCGGAGGGGCACTTCAGCCTCGGCTCCTCTGGGGTGTCACCCACACACTCTCGACACCTGCACATACTCGTTCATGTAAATTCACACACCCTCACATGCAACATGCCCACACACTCACCTGCTCTCACACAGGCACATACTGCACAATCCTAACACTTGTGCTCACGCTCACACACTCATATACTTCAGTGCATATTCACACACATGCACATGCTCTCACTCACCTGTGCACATTCAACACACTCTCAGCCTCTCTCACACACTACCATGTGCACTCTAGACTCAGACTCAAATGCTGTCAGTGCATGTGTATGCACACTCACATACTCATGTGCATACACTCCCATTCACTCACCTATGCACATGCTCAGCACCCTTCCATGTGCTCCTGTGCACACTCACATACTCTCACACCCATCACATGTGCATGCACACTCACACTCACACACACACATACACACACACACACACTCCACCAGGCCTCCCCAGAAGGAGACCCCCCAGCCAGTGGCTCCTTGGATGATATTTTTCAGCCCTCTTAGGACAATGAGCAAACCGCCAAATGAAGCTGGGTGGTCCCTGTCCAGCGACTGCCCAATACTGCACTGTGATGCCCTCATCACAGGGGAGTGTGGGTGGGCCGGCAGGTGGCACTCTGGCCGTGGGGATGCACCAGCGAGCATCCTCCCTGCTGTAACTTAGGGAGGGGGGCCCAGCCTCAGAGGGTGGTCATTGTTTGTGGAGGCCAGCCCATCTCTGACCCTTGGTGCTCTCCATCAAAGCACCGGACAGGACCCTCCTCGCCCAGTGTTGAGAACAGCCCCTCTGGAAAGACATGCCCACCAGTGCTCCCAGTGGGCCCATCAGAGGCCAGTGCTTAGGCTTAGAACAGGCAAAACAGCACTGCTCTCATGGTCAGGATCACACCCCCAGCTGACCAGGCAGGCTTTCCAGGGTCGGGTCAGTCGGGGGCACTCCCACCGGCTCTGGCGGACTGGGAAACCTCCCACCGTGCCAGGGCATCAACAGTCAGCCCTAACCTATCTTTGTTTACCAAGACATACCACTCAACACTCCAAGGATCTCGAGGGCACCTAGTTTGTCCCTTCCAGCTGTGTGAGAACCTCAACCCATGGAACAAGAGCCACCCACCCCCACGGCCAAGTTAGGAGTGGGACCCAGTGGTCACTGAGAGGCGGAACTCCAAAGGTCCTACGTCTGATTTCTCTCTAAGTCCTCTTTTATGCTTCAGGAAGATAGAAATAGCGAGACGGATTTCTTCTTTGACGGATGAATGCTCCCTCAGGGTCGGGGAAGCTGTGGACGCCTGTCAAACGCCCCTTTGCTCAGCGGCCCTGTAGCTGGCGGGGCACGACCCGCCCCACTAGGCGGACGCTGGGGCTTGGTCCCTTCCCCTGCGTGTCAGCCGGCCTTGCGTTACGGCCTTGAAGAGCAAGTGCTCCAACAGCCCTCCCTGCCAGAGCCCCCCCACCAAGTGAACATGGGGGAGGCAGAGAGCCAGAGCTGGGACCAGACAGAAAAGGCAGGGACCCAAGGCTCTCCTGGTGAACCCCCAGACCTGTGGCTCCTCCCAGGACTCCCCTCCTTCCCTGTCACAACTCTACCAGGTCTTCAGCATGACCCCCCTTCCACAGCCGTGGATTTGCTGGGCACCCCCACCTGCAAGTGGTCTACCAACCCTCCCTCCCTCCCGAACATCAGGGCCCAGACACCTGCCCTATGGCCAAGAGACAGCTAGGACCTGCCCCCGACTCAAAATCTCTACTCCCTCCCCCTACTTGCCAAAGAAAGTGTGTATGCATATGTGTACATTTATAAAATGAATATTAAAATACCCTCTCCATCCATTATTTCTCCTTTACAGGCTACACACAACCCTCCCTAGCCTGCCCCAGCGTTCAGTTGCATTGCACAGCATTCCTCGTCTCATATTCCAACCTGCTTCTCACACTTTAATGTGCACCCACATCACCTGGGAAATCTTGTTAAAATGCAGACGCTGATTCCACAGGTCTTGGGCAGGGCCTTGGGAGTCTGCATTCTAGACAAGCCTCCAGGCGCAGCCAGTGCTGCTGGGCTGGGACTGCACTTCAAGTGCCAGGTTCCAGCCACACCCCCAAACTCCTGGCATCTGTCCATCTGCACATCCTTCTTCCCCTGCCACGAGTTCCCTTTCTCCTTCTCTCTTTTACTGAAAACCAGGCCAACACGACCAACTGCCCCAGGCATTGTGCTGGGCACCCATGCATCATCGGAGTTAGTCCTTATAACCTTGTAAGTTAGCGTTAGGTCTGAGCACATTCCTCATTAACAACTGGACTCCCTCACAGGCCTCAGATGGCCCTAAGGAGACACTGTTCGTTCATTATTATGCCAAATTTACAAAAGAGGAGAAAGAGACAACAAGAAGTTCATTAACCTAAGACCACCCAATCTTTAAGCAGAGGGGGCTGAACTGACCTCAGCAGGCTGCCCTCTGACCCCATCAGAATCTTACCTGGACTCCAACTGCCTCACATTTCCTCCCGAAGCCTTCCCAGACCAACTGGCAAATCTCTCCCTCCAGTTTTTGAATGTTGTTTTCTTATTATCTCATTCTGCAGAGTTTTGCTTGGCTTGTAAGATTCTGCATGGAAGACCGTGACCTCCTCCGAGCCTGGGGCGTCACCTCGTTCATCTTGGACCTGCCAAATATCCTGCAGCACCCTGAACTTGACTGCTACTCAGCAAGTATTCGTCAGATTGAATTCTCTGAATGCGTTTCCCTATTTCTGTATTTCCTCTGTTTTTCCTTTGGTGCCTTAGTAATTATTCATTTGTTTTCTTTTTAAACGCCAAGCTTGCCTCACTTGCAGGAAAAGAGGTTTTCCTTTCTTCTCACATTTTTTCTTTTTTTCTGAACCCAAAGTAGTATGTATTCACTTTGGAAAAGTTGTAAAGTAACGAAAGGATGTGAAAAGCTCCCTTGGATTGCTTTGTTCCCATAGTCTCCCACCCTGGGCACTATGGCAGCTGGGGCTGGGTCAGCCTGTGCTGGGGGCTGTCCTGTGCACCGCAGGAAGTTCAGCCGCGTCCGGGACTCCACCCACTAGATGCCAGTAGCACCCCCTCACCCCCACTGTGACAGCTGAAACTGTCTCCTGACTGCCCGACAGGACCCCTGGGAGACAAAAATCCCCCCCAGTTGAGATCGGTGCTCTAACCCCCAAAGGAAGCACCATTTCACATGTTGACTGTTTCTTTCTAGCCTAGAAAAGGGGTTTTTCTGTACCTGGATCAGAAGAGATGGGGACCAGGATGCCGCCGGCCTAGGGGTGATGAAATCAGCAGGGGTGGAAGCCCGTGACGGCCCAGCCAAGAGCCGGGGCGCCAGGCTGATGGTGGGAGGGCAGCGGAGGCTGGTGGTCAAGAACCTCCTCTTTGGAGCCAAAGCAAACCAGAGTGAAATCAGCCCTTCTTCAAAAATATCTTCAGAACCACTTTAACCAGCCTCACAGCAAAGGCAGCATCATGACATTATAATCATTTTAGTCACTTTCGGGTAAAAACAGTATTGCCCAACATCTAACCAAACTTGACTCCAGATCACTTTTAGTGATTTCCAGTGAAGTGAAGTCACCGCAAAGAGGGTGAGGTTTGTCCCCTGTAAGGTAACAAAAGGACATGCTGCTCCCGGCGAAGGCCAGTGATGTGACCCTCATGAGTCTGGACCACGTGGTCCAATATCCAGGCTGCCTTGCGGTCAAGGCATCTGAGGTCAATCCCAGCATGACTCAGGTTCTCGACTTGCCCTTCTCAAACCCTGTGAAGAAACTCATTTGCCAAATCTCATGGCAATTCCACAAACATTTTTTATTCTCCCACCCATGGCCCAAAGACCTGAAGCTCTTCAGCTCCCCCTCCAGCAACCTTCCCCATCTTCCTCCAACTTTACGGTCCAGGCAGGAAGGATTCCCCTTCCCGGGAGGTGGGACCTGGAGGCGGGCAGGAAGTCTGACAATACTTCCGTGTTGATAATTTTTACCCCTTCTCAGACCTTGCATAGACCTAAGCAAATCCTTAAGGAGGTAATATTCATACACACACTCAAGTCACCCACCTCCACGTGGTCATACCTGTAAACTCTCAGAGCTCGGGCACCACATGTGTGCATTTTATCTCGATGCCACACCCAGACCAGCGCCATTTGACAAGGCATTTTATAAACACAGTTTTCCATCTCCCTTAATCCTCATCGGGAGGCCAGCTGTCCTGAGCGGAGAGAAGCTTGGCATCTCCCTGGATTGGAAGGAGCTTAGAAGAAAAGTCCTACTGCTCATGTGGGTGGAAAGCTCTTAGCAGAAAAGCTCACACAGGCATGGCTACTGAAGCCCATGCTTTACACAGCGTTGTGTAAGTCTTGGGAGAAAGAGATTCAACCATAAATTAAGTGTACCCCCTTACCGCAACAAGATTACAGTGCAGTGATGAAGACAGACACGCACCCGATTACAGCTCACGACCGAATGGCCAAAGTTGAATGAAAATGGTAAATGGGTAACATTCTAGACCTGTTCTGTCCAGTGCGATGGCCACTCATCATGCGGCTATGTCATTTCAAATGAATTAAAGTTAAACGAAATTCAAAATTCAGTTCCTCAGTCTGAAGTTCCAAGCCCTGAATGCTCCAGTTCCAGGCTCGCGGTGGCTGTGCGTGGCTGAGAGCCGCCGTACTGGACAGCACGGCACCGAGTGTTTCCGCCACCGGACGGCTCTGCGCTGCAAAGTCAGTGTGGGAGGAAGGAGCTGTGGACACCCGGCGGGCCAGGTCCCTGGGAGTCATTCAGATGCCTTCCTCTCTTACAGCTGCCCCCTTGAATCAGTCACCAAGCCTCCTCAATACCTG